CGGAGACATCCCTGAACAGTTGCCATCTAGTCGTCATAATGAAGTCAATCTCATTTTTTGTCGAACCGTCGGGGCTCGACCAGGTGCATTTCCTGTGGGGCCGTTTCTGAAAGAAAGAGTTTATCGTAAAGAGTCCCTCTTTCTACATGAAGTCGGCCAGCTGCTGGCCCCTTGGGTTCCGTTGCCCTATTCCAAATTTCCCTACTTTCAACTCACCGTTATCTCTTGTACCTAGTTTTGCGTTGAAGTCTCCCATTAACACCCTATAGTGGGTTTTGGAGGAATGCATGGCTCAATAGATATTCTCATACATTTCCTCCACCTCCTCATCGGGATGTACTGAGGTTTGTGCGTAAGCCTGTATGACCTTCAGCGAATACCGTTTCGTGATTCTGAGTATAAGGTTGGGTACCTTACACACTTAAAAGTCAATTTGAACTTTAATACCATACCATAAAGTTAAAATGTTAGTAGAGGGGTTCCGGGAAGGCAAAACAATGAGGGCATCCACGACTTTTTCTGCTACCAGGGCGGCGCCACTAGAAAGTGAGGTATAATATTTGACAGATGTCATAGCGGGGAAGTTAATTTGTTCGGAAAATGTAAAGGTTATTGTCTCTTTCTGTACTATTAGGTATATTTTATATTAATAAGATTAAAAATAAATAAACCAAACCACAGATATTCATAAAAATAGTAAAAAATATAAATTAAAAATGAGCATAAAATTAAAGAGCAAACCACTGACGCGTATTAATACAATACTCTAGAAACTGATAAACTTTTATTAAAAAGCAACTTCTCAATTAAATTACATTGTACAACAAAAAACTTTACCTCAGTGTCCTAGCGACATCTGGTGAACAGAAAATTATTAGCCCTCATTGAGTGTCGTTAGTATCGTATAAATATTAATGTCAATATTTGTCAGTATTTAAACACACTGACAGATAGCTTAATAGCTGATGTTATAAGGAGTAACTTGGGCTGCTTTTGTTTTAGAGTTCCGCGAAAAATAACTCCATGCGGACGAAGTCGTGGGGAACAGCTAGTACCTATGTAAAAATTGATTACTGTCCATTAGTCTTGCTAAAACTCAAAAACGGCTCAAACTATTTTGATGAATTTTTGTGTTAGAATGGATCCCTAGATGGTTTAGGTTCACATTTGGACCCGGTAGGTGGCCCTTTTGTCGGAATCCAGAAATAATATTTTAAATTTTTAAATTCTTTTTTTATATCATCATCATCATCGTCATTACAACCCTTCACAAGTCCACTCCTGAATATAGGCCTCCCCCAAGGAGTGCCACAAAGCACGGTCCTGAGCCATCTGCATCCATCGACTTCCTGCATGTCTTTTTTATTTATGTAATTCAAATTCAATAAAATGTTATGTTGCAGCACTATTACTCTTGTTTGAAAAATAATTGACAACGTCATTTTTCAGGATCAAACTCTAGCATTGCAAGAATATCTGGGATCAAGTTCATCTCTAAATCTCAAGTCTCAACCAGGTCCGTCCCTTGTTGAGAATATTACGATTACTGAAATGCAACATCACAAAGTAAGTATATTACCAATGAAAAATTAAACATGATCTTTGGCTATGAATATGTCTGCTTTTTGCTAATATCCCACTGACCTGATGTAGTTGTGATTTCTACTACTCGCAATGTATACCTAATTTTGAAGTAGCCGTTGCACTTCTATGGTACTAGCCGAAAATACCGTCCTTAGCATTTTTAGGGTTCCGTACCTCAACTCGAACAACGAAAAAAGGAACTCTTATAAAATCGCTAAGAAAAGTTAAAAATCCTATAATGTACTTCATTATAGTTTTAAAACTACTTCATTTCCTTTTTAATATCTCATATAAACTAACCGTTTGAATGTAGACGTCAGTTTTATAAAAATAACAATAATAATATCTTCTAATAGTCCACCAAGCATAGATGTATGTACTAGCATTACTCTTAGTTACTAACATTAGTCTGGAAAATAAATGACATATTATTTTGCAGGATCAAGCTGTAGCTCAAGATCTTGAGTGTCAACCAGGTCCAAGAACATTACTATGGCGGCGCTGTCGTCGCGCCACAAGCGTAACACATCGAAGCCCAAATCGCGCTAACAAAGTTCCGAAGTTAAAACAGTATATATAGAATTGCTCCGAATTACCACTCGGAGCGTTGGCCGCTCCCCGGGCAGAACACCTTGCTGGGCGGGAGATCTTCCCTTTTCCTTCTACCCGCCACAGTGGTGACCCCAACGTGATATGAACACGCAACCAACAAACTTCGGAAAATACAACTTCAAAAACCTTCGTCATCATCCTCAAGTACCCCATTCATTCGCTCCCGAGCAGATATTATTCTGCAGTCTTCACATTCTGCAAAGCCATCTAGCTTTATAAAGGTACATCGCGACATTGGAATAATAATGCTTCCTGTTCCTTCAAGCTACTCTCTGCGCTACAGTGTTCGTCACGGCTCTGAGCCTTACTGTTCGCCTCTACTTCACGGCACTCTCGCAGATTACTTGCCTTCTTCTCGACTCACCGCAGACTACGAGGCAATCCCAGGCACTTGCTCCGGGTCATCGTTCTCACCGGCATCACTTGCAAGTCCGTAGTATGGCATGCATTACACACCGGTATATCGTTCGCACCGGCGTCACTTGCCCTTACGCACACAGCATGCATTCCCCACCGGCATTAAGGACGCACCGGCAATCGAACAGCATTATCGACCTCGGGTCTGAGCAGGGGGGTGATGTGGCGACGCTGTCGTCGTGCCACAAGCGAAACACATGGAAGCCCAAATCGCGCTAACAAAGTTCTGAAGTTAAAGCAGTATATATAGAATAGCTCCGAACTACCACTCGGAGCGTTGCCACAATTACAAATTCTTATACACTGCATCACAAAGTAAGTAGGTACCTATCTAATCTACAATTATATCTATTACATATCTAGAAAGATAATGTTATTGACTGACTGCTCTGATTGAGCTATCAACACACAGCTTAAACCAATGGATGGATCAGGCTGAAATTTGTCCAACAGATAGCTAATATGACGTAATCTTATGCTAAGAAAGGATTTTTGGAAATTCCCACGGGATCGTGATATAGCTAGTTATGTATAAAATAAGAATAAAAAATACAACACATATAACCTATGAAATATTTCTTTCTATTCTATTTCTTTCTATTTAGGGAAAAACGTTACCCCCACACTAGGATTTTCTCTTGTATCGTGGAGGCAGTTTACAAACACATATTGCACAAGGACAAACATCCAGACCCGGAACAATTATTTGTAGGCCATACAAATACTTGTTCCGTGCGGGATTCGAACCCGCGCCCCCCAGCGCAGCAACTCATTGCTAAACCACTCGCCACGGAGCCGTCAAAATAATATTTCGCAGGATCAAGCTCTAACCCAAGCCCAAGATATCAAGTGCCAACCAGACTCGTCAGTTAAGGACAGTATGATTACTGAAATGCACAATGAAAAAGTAAGTACCTATACTCCACCAAATCTAAGAAATACCTTTTGACAGCTATCACATTTATTCGACTAGCCATTCCAACTTAAAAATCGGTACCTACAAAAAGAGAAGTCGATTTTTTTAGAAAATGGTGTCTAGATTATATCTAAAAAGAGCCATTAAAATACCTACTTAATAAAATTATCCATAATAAGTAGGTACCTCCATGTTTTTACAATTTTTGCGGAGTAATTTTCCAAGATTTATTCTATTAGGAAATACGTTTTTTTTTTATAGATTTAGGGTGACCAACGAGCACTCAGTCCACCTGATGGTAAGTGGTTGCTGTGGCCCATAGACATCTACATCTATCCTCGATTACGAATCAAAATGCAGATGCGTTGTCACCCGTGAGAACTAAGATGGAATGCCTCCTTTCCAGTAAAAAAGGGTCTCCGGTTCTCTACACTCACCATATGAAACACAGCAGCGTTATGCTGCTATTTTACGATGGTATTCTGTGAGAGTTCCTAAAATTAATTATTATAATTCTAGAGATACGTTTATAGAAATAATTTTTAATTTATAGAAACATATTTTTTAATAGAATAAATCTTGGAAAAACCTGATTGATGAAAAAACATTTGATTTCTGCGATTCGAATTTTACCGCCCATTTTTTTTATCTGACTCAAGAATAGATGGCGCTGAATTTTGTTCCCATCCATTTTATATGGAGTTAACATATGCGTAGTATCTTCTAAGTAGTCTGTGCTGTGGTTAACATTCTTCTCCGCTAGGACCATGGAGCTTTGTACTCCATGGCTAGGACTTAGGAGTAAACGTAGTGGTTATATTCTCTTTGGTTGGGAGTAAAAGTATTCTGTCAAGCTTAGCTTGCTAGACAGAGTATCATTTTATAAGCTTGCTATATATTTATTTATCTATGGTCTAGCTTGCTACATATTTATTAAAAAAAAATATTTATTTATCGTAGATATGGAGTGTAGAGTAGAAGGAGAACCATCTTATAAGGTGCGAAAGTTGAAAAAGTGTCCCAATATATACTGAAAATAGAGGTTCCAAAACCTACCAGAATAGCGCTGGCGTCTGAAAAACTACGATATGAATATAGCTGTTGTAGACGGAGTGAAGTCAGCTGAATTAAAATATTTAAAAAATTTCATGACTAGAGTAGTTAGTAAAATGCCAGTATACAAAACCTCAACTATTTACGTAGTACAAAACCAAGCGGATTGGTCGATCCTTGTTTATTTCTCCATCTTATTCTAATAAATTTTGGCGCTTTTTTTTAAATTTATCCTATGCTACTGCAGCGCCACCCTTATTGGACGCGTTTTTAGGGACACTTTTCATATACAGAGATGGTCCTCCTTCTACTCTACACTCCATAATCGTAGATAGAGAAATCTATGTTATTTATTTATCTATGATTCTGTCATTCCTGTGCACTTAACCCGCCTAAGGGTATTAGTGTTCTGTGACTTAACCACAGAGTATCTTTTTATAACCAGGGACAATTAACCAACAATATAAACTTACATTTAATTTATTTACATTTTACAATATAATCTCATCTAAAGCGATATAATGGGTAAAGAAGATACATCAACTAAAAAACGACGAAAATTAAATACTAGTTTGACAAGCGACTCTAACAAACAAGTACCCGTTGATGTATATAAGGTTAGAAAAGACATAGACAGGATTTCATTCACATATAAGCATTCTATTTTATTGTAACGATATGATTAAAGACGATTTTATAATACTTATTATAAGTTTCTTTAAATGTATTAAATATAAATTTTAAGCGTGTCGTGGAATTTGAAGAATCCGAAGCTCAATCGCGATCTGCTGAAAAAGATGCCGCTCTTTTTAAAAAGATATGCCAAGATGTTCGACAACTATTTGCTGAAATAGCAGAGCTAAAAGCAAAAGGAACAGATGAGGTACACTGAGTAATTTCTTTTTTTATGTTGGTTCATAACTACACATTGGTTTATATATTAATTCTGCAACTATAAACTATATTTCAATATTAATGGCAATAAAATTTGAAATGATTTCTTTTAGGCTAAAGAAAAGATACATGCAAAAAGAATAGAAGCTTCATTGCTGTTAGTTGCTTTAAAAAAATTGAACCGCTTAGAAAAAGTACGTACGAGAGCTGGAAGAGAAGCCTTACACAAGGAAAAACAACGAGTTGATTCCACACACTTGCTGCTGCAGAATTTACTATATGAAGCTGACCATCTAAATAAGGAAGTTACAAAGTGTCTTCAATTTAAATCAAAAGATGAAGAAATAGAGCTAGTTCCTCTTGAAGATTTCTACAAAGAAGCACCTAAAGAAATATCACGTCCAGTGAGTGTAATCTCTGTAAAACTGTATAAAAATATAATAAAAATATATTACAATTTATACATTTTTATATATAAAAATATATAAATTGTAATAAAATATATCATTTTAGCTAAGATAGTAAATTATATAGTTTGTATAATTAAATTATACACTTCACATTATAAATGACATCAGAAACTTCAGATATTAATATTGTATTGTATGTATTATGAATATATATATATACTTATGAATATTACATGTGGTAGAGCCATGCTGCAGCTATATTAGTAGTGTGGTTGTAGCATGAATGGGTAGGCTTGACCGAGGAAGGACTACACTCACAGAATACCAGCGTAAAATAGCAGTTAAATGCTGCTGTGTTTCGTCTGGTGAGTGTAGAGAACTGATGACCCATTTAACTGGAAACGAGGCATTCCATCTTAGTCCTCACGGGTGACAACTGATGAGGGTAGATGTAGACATCTATGGGCTACAGAAACCACTTACTATCAGGTGGGCTGGTGCTCGTTTGTCACCCTTATCCTATAAAAAAATGCATCCTTAACAATGTAATATGTTCATGTGCAAGAAGTTGGTCACCAATAAAATCAATAAATGAGTGTACGAAAATATACAATGAGGCCATCTATAAGTAAGACATTATTGTAAATTGGAGCTGGTTTTAACCATACAGGTGTCCTTTTGACTGAGACACCCAGGGCAAAGCTGTCACTGTGGAAAATTTGACCTCACCTACAGAATATACAGAATAAAATCAATAACTATTATAAATTGATTTTTAATGGTTGATTTCAAACACAATTGTTTTAACTTTTGGAAGTTTCTTTAAATTTGTTTGTGTTTCTACAACATTGTTTCTAATTTTATTAATTATAACTTACAATTTTTGTATTTACTAAAGTTTTTTTTTAAATCTAAATTGATGAAATAATCAGCTAGATGTACTTATTGCATCTATAAGTGAAATATTTATAATTTTGATAAGTAGTTAAATAAAAATAATTAAATATATGGTAACTCTTAAACTGTTTGTTACATTTTTTCCATTGCTAATTAATTATATTTTCCTTTTCACAGGAAATAACAAAAAATGATGAACATCAGTTACAATTGGCAAGGTTAGAGTGGGAGCTCCGACAACGTCGTGAATTGGCTGGAGCATGTAATGAACTTGTGGCTTCTAAAGAGAGAGTTGCGGCTGCAATAGCCGCTGCCAGATCGAGATTAGATGCATTAGCTCCACATCTTCGCGATGTCCTTAAAGCAACAAAACCTTTGCAAGAATGTTTGGCTCTTCGTTTAGATGAAAAGCGTGATGAAGCAAGAGCTGCTTCTCTTCTACCACCTCCTCTATTTTTGTTATATGCTAATGCAAGTGCTTATTCGGATGTATTAGGAGTGTCACATTTAACTGTTGGTAAGAAAATCAATTAAAAAGTTTATTTTTGTAATATCAAAGTGACAAAATATTTCAGTTGGCTGCAGTCTGCAGTCTACAATCAACCTTAAAAAAAGGGTTATAAATTGCTTTATTACTGCTACATTCCTTAGATAGCTCTTAAATTCAAATCAGAGTTCTTTTCTGGAATTGACATAGCACTGTTGTAGAACTACAGACCAATTTTCCTTCAAACCCTTGTCCCAGTTTACGAATCGTCTGGAATTTACACTTGAAAACGGCTTCTGTATTATTTGCCAAAGGGTATGATGTACTAAGGAAGAAAAACTAATTGTGCACTATGAGAAAGCCTTTGATTCCCTCGAAATTTGGATGGTGCTATAGTCCCTTCACCAGTGCCAAGATGACTGTTAGCATATCAAAGTGCTGAATTAGGGCTGCAATGTCTATTTGAGTATAGAATCAGAGTATGAAAAATTATCAATCTGTAAGTCAAGGTGATGTTTTATACTCGAAACTCCTCACTGCTTCATTGGAAGACAGTATCGACATTAGTGGCGAGTACATCACTCACTTTTGATTTTATGGTGATATATTCCTTATGGCAGAATTACTGGAGGACCTCAGCACCTCAGTAGTGTCTCACAGATAGGTCTTAAAATTAATGTGGACAAAACAAAGGTCATGTGTAATGTCCATGTCATACCAATGCTGTTAGTTGTTGGGAGCAATACACCCGAAGTTGTAGACAAGTATGTTTACCTGGGACAAATAGTCAGACTAGTTGAGTCCAACTTTGACGGAGAGGTCGATCGACGTATTCAGCTTGGCTAGGCAGCGTTCGAAAGATTAAGAGACATCTTCATCTTTTCCTTGTGTAAGGCTTCTCTTCCAGCTCTCGTACGTACTTTTTCTAAGCGGTTCAATTTTTTTAAAGCAACTAACAGCAATGAAGCTTCTATTCTTTTTGCATGTATCTTTTCTTTATGTCTCTTAATCTTTCGAACTTCAAAACAAGAATGTACAACCAGATTTGAGATGTGGTCCTTTACGGCTTGCTATATGAGGAAGCTCAAGGTCGCTCAGCAAGCTATGAAGAGGCCTATGCTTGGAGTTTCTCTGCGTGATATACTTAGAAATAAGGATATTCACAGTATAACAAGAGTAACCGTCATAGCCTTACAAATCAGTAATCTGACGTGGCAATGGCCACATAGCTAGAAGGAACAACAACTGATGCGGACAAAAGGTATTTGAGTGGCAACCTCAACTCCGTTAAGTACACTAGATGGAGTGATGGTAAGAGATGCAGGAAGTTAATGGATGCAGCTGGCTCAGGACTATGTTCTGTGGCATTCTTTAGAGGAGGCCTAAGATGTTGATTGTGACAATAGGTGGAATATAGCTTTTTTTTATAGGATAGGGTGACAAACGAGCACACAGTCCACCTCATGGTAAGTGGTTGCTGTGACCCATAGACATCCACATCTATCCTCAATAAAGAATCACAATACAGATGCGTTGTCACCCGTGAGGACTAAGATTGGATTGCCTCTTTTGCAGTAAAAAAGGTGTCCGGTTCTCTACACTCACCATACGGAACACAGCTGTGTTAAGCTGCTATTTTACACTGGTATTCTTTGAGAGCGTGGTCCTTCTCTGGTCGAGCTGACCCATTCGTGCTACAACTGTACTACTAATATAGCTGCAGCATGGCTCTACTACATAAAGCTATAGCAAGCTATAAAAAAATTCGTATTGTTTTAGGAATTTCTGGTGATGAAGATGAAGCAAGAAGATGGGAACAACTCAATACTAACAGCATGGGAAGTGAATTAGTTGTATCTAACGATTCTGATTCTGATCAGGATAACAATGATGAAGATCAGAGGGAAAAGAAGAAACGTCATCACAGAACTGTAAAAATATCAAAAGAAGAAAAAGCTGAGGCTAAAAAGAAACAGGTTCTTCAGCGACACCCATTGAATGTTCAAGTTTCTGTAAAAGTTGATGATGGAACAGCTTTAAATTTAATTTTCTTTTACTTACTAAATCTAAAAATTGTTGTTGTTAAGTTTAGTATGTCACTCCCAAAACCTATCACTGGAGTCTCAGCAGCAGATGTGTTAAACGGAGATTGTATTTTAAATGAATTGTATACTGGAGATACAGGCAACGATTCTCCTCATCCAGCCACTACATACTTATTAAATGCTGCTGGGATAACTGAAAACTTTCACCATTTCATTCCCGAAATTGGGAAGCCATATGTTTGGGCCCAAAGAATGTGTGGTTTGGATTTCATGGCAGTGGTTTTAGATGAACATAAAGTATATAAAACATTCCAGCCATGTCAAAGTTTAAGTGTAGCATCTGTAGAAAATTTCATTTTCACCTTGAAAAAACGTCTGAAAGCACGAGTGGAACTTATGAAAGAACTCCAAGATTTGGAGTGTGGAAAAATATTACCAGTAAAAGATTTACCCATTAGGTTATCTGGGTCACTTACTCAATGGCAATCAGTGGGTTGGCCGGAATACAGTCAATCTCCATCAACCACATTTTTAATATCTGAAGGCTTAGCCAGTGCTGACAATATGTTATACAGAGCTATAGTCACAAGACAATCCGCGAAATTAGTTGCATTAGTAGCTCTAAGTAGCGATTACCCTAAAAAATCTCCGCTATTCTCTCTAACATTGCACTGGAATGGTACACACCATGCAGGTATTAATGATGATATAAGAGATATTGAACGACTTTTAAACACCAATTGGGATGAAGAAAACTCAGGGACGCACACTCTTTCTGCTAAAATGACAAAGTTATTAACATGCATAGATATTCTGCTTGAAACAACTGGATCAATTGAATTCCCACCAGATAAAGTTATGTTTAGACCAGTACGTGGCAGAAACAGAATCAAACCATATAAGTTTATAAAACAAGGTGCTGGTTTGTTTGTCCAGTATTGATAAACCTTAGTTTAATAGGTCTTAAATGATTAATTAATCAGCTACCAATGAAACATAAAAAATAAAGTATGGAAACAATTTGCATTTAAATTTTTTAATCTCTACTCATACAACACAACGTGAGACATTATTTATGTATTTAACACAATTAATTAGATTTTTTCTGCACATAAAATTGTATTATCTGCATCTGTTCAATCGCATAGTAGCCAGAACCGATTATTACCGTTATTGTAAACGTACTAATGCTTATGGGTCCTATCTCAATATTTTTTGCCAACATTATTATACATTGATTGTTGTGTTACTGTAAAGTGAAGGCAATGAGATCACTGCCACAATCAAATTCAAAGATGTTTTCTCTCTTTTATTAATTAGAGATCACAGAAAAAATATTTTTACTTTTGTCTTTTCGGTACTACATTTTATTACAATTTTTATTTTTATAAAACTGAGGCTGACAAACGAGCAAACAATCCATGTGATGAGTGAATGCTATGCCCATAGACACCTACATCATCTTAAATAGCAGAGGCGTTTTTATCCCGGAGATCGATGTTTATTAATTTATTATTGACGAGCATCACAGTCGGAAAATATTGGCCATACCTCATAGATAAATATATTATCCCATATTTCTATGTACTTGTAATAACTTAAAAACAAAAAAATTTAATTCATAAAACATATTATAAAAACACCTAGCTTTCCTTCCATTGTGAACATAAACATTGATATGGGTGTAACAGCGCCGCTCATATATTTGTGAAACAGACCTGCGTGTCGGGAAAGTTTAGTCGATTCTACAGTTTTTCGCGGCATTACTTTCGACGCAAAGCTTAAGTGGAGTGGTACGTAGTTTTTTTAGTAGTTAGTTTAGTTGGGGGGAGGGGAGGTTCCCCCAACTGTTATGGGATTTTCCGTTGAGGACATGCGGCTTATTTAGAAACTATTTTGCTTTGTACAAGAGGGCAATAAGCCTATAAGTGCTATTTATAATTATAAATGTAAAAAATAGAGACTGACCGACTATGATATTGGCCGACTAGTCGGCCAAGCCAATCATTGCTTCGGCGGAGTTTGGAATCCCCTTGCCGCTTCATTGTTAGCAAAGTTGAGTGGTGGAATCGTAACCACGGAGCAAATACAATTTGCCCCGTAGTAGTAACTCATAACAGTTCAAGATATCCCTAAATGTCTCTTGTAAAAAATTATACCTACTCTGTAAACACCAGGAAGAAAAACAAGCTAGTGATACGGGTTACTACAGTCAGCAATGCATTCTTGGGGCAATGTATCACGCTATTTTTTTTTTATAGGAGAGGGGTCAAACGAGCATGCATGCGGCTCACCTGATGGTAAGTGACTACCGCCGCCCATGAGCAACCGCAACACCAGGGGAATTGCAGATGCGTTGCCGGCCTTTTAAAAAGGAGTACGCTCTTTTTTGAAGGTTCCTAAAAATAAAATCGGTCCGGAAAAATCGCTGGTGGTAATCGATTCCACAAAGGAGTTGTGCGAGGAAGAAAACATCTTCTAAATCGCACAGCGGTGGACCGCCATTCATCCAGGTGATATGGATGGTATCGCAAGTTTTGTTGCAATGTGCGATTGTGAAATTGAGCGGCTGGAATTAGTCCAAATAATTCCTCAGAGCACATCCATGGTAAATGCTATAAAATACGCAAAGAGATGCAACATCTCTACGCAGTGGCAGTGTATCGAGCCGATCAGAAAGAACTCGGTCGTCGACAATTCGAACCGCTCTGCGCTGGATGCGGTCAAGTGGAAGGAGTTGGCACTGGGGTGCCCCGGCCCAGAAATGAGAACAGTATTCCATGTGAGGCCAGATTTGCGCTTTGTAACATTGCAAACGATGTGCCGGCATGAAATACTGTCTCGCTCTGCTGAGCACGCCAAGCTTTTTAGAGGCCAGTTTGACTTCCCTTCCAAGTGACCACGAAACTGCACACTATTCCATATGTCGACGTCAAAGATTCCGATGCTAGCTGAGGCAGCAAGGGGAGTGCCTTGAACTGAGGAGATACGACAAAGGGGTTCTTTTTAGCGGTAAACGCGCAAACTTGTGTCTTCTGGGGATTGAACTGGACTAGATTTCATCATCATCATCATCATCATTACAGCCCTTCACAAGTGCACTGCTGAACATAGGCCTCCCCCAAAGAATGCCACAAAGCATGGTCCTGAGCCACCTGCATCCATCGACTTCCTGCATATCTTACCAGGTCGTCACTCCATCTAGTGGGGGGACGCCCTACACTTCGCCTGCCGGTACGAGGCTGCCACTCGAGAACCTTTCTCCCCTATTGGTTGTCGGTTCTTCGAGCTATATGGCCGGCCCATTGCCACTTCAGCTTACTAATCCGTTGGGCTATGTCGGTCACTCTGGTTCTACTGCGGATATCCTCATTTCTGAGTATCACGCAGAGAAACTCCGAGCATAGCCCTCTCCATAGCTCGCTGAGCGACCTTGAGCTTCCTATTCCGGCCAGCAGTGAAGAACCACGTCTCAGTTCCGTATGTCATCACTGGCAACACGCACTGGGTGTACAGTCTCGTTTTCAAGTTTTGAGGTACACCTGACGAGATGTGCCGTAATTTCCCGAACGCTGCCCAACCGAGTTCTCGGATTGGGGGCGACTAAATATATATAATAGTCGCCCCCAATCCGAGACTTTGTTCAGCAAAGACTCGACTTCAGACACAAGTTTGTCCCGGTACTCGGCGACGTTTTCCCGAGAAATATTGGCACGGCCGGTATAAAAGGCATCACCAGTGCTGTCGTCCGCATAGCAATGAATGTTACTAGTTTGCAACATATCATTGATATGCAGGAGAAACAGCGTTGGTGATAGCACGCAGCCTTGAAGAACACCAGCGTTGATAGGCTTAAAATCAGAGCATGCACCGTCTACTACGACCTTGATGCTCCGATCACCAAGGAAACTGGTGATCCATTTGCACAATTTCTCGGGAAACCCATAGGAAGGAAGCTTCGAAAGAAGCGCTTTGTGCCAGACCAGATCGGAGGCCTTCGCTATGTCCAAACTAACGGCCAATGCATCCCCCTTGGACTCTACTGCCTCCGTCCATCTATGAGTCAGGTAGACCAGAAGATCACAAGCTGATCGACCCCGACGAAAACCGTACTGGCGGTCACTAATCAGCTGGTGATCCTCAGGTTACCTCATGAGCTGGCAGTTTATAATGGATTCCATTATTTTGGAGAACAAGGAGGTTATGGCGATAGGCCTGTAGTTGCACGGGTCTAAGCTGTCACATTTTTTAGGGATCGGGTGGACCAAAGCTGTCTTCCATGAATTCAGGACTACGCCTTGGGAGTAGGAGTACCGGAAAAGACGCATTAGAACCGGTGCCAACTCCGGAGCACACGTCTTCAGCACAATGGGAGGGACTCCTATTACAACAAAGTCCCAGAAAATATACACGTCCTCTAATATTACAAAGTTCAAACATAGAAAAGAGAGGCAACATAACATAACAACCTACTTTGTACTTATTGTATATTACTGTAGAAAAATAGTCCCTCTGGATTTTCTTTATTATAATAACCGGCAAAGTGCGAGTCGGACTCGCGCATGAAGTGTTCGGTACCATCGTAAGTAATCGTATCGTAGTAAGGAGAGTCCCCTTTAATTTTTAATTTATATTTATTATTTGTTGTTTTAGCGGCAACAGAAATACACATTCTGAGGAAATTCCTATTACGGATCGTGGGATACACTCCGCTGATATACAGACGGACGGACAGCGGAGGCTTAGTAATAGGACCCCGTTGGTTACCCTTTGGGTACGGAACCCTAAAAAGGGTCTCCCGTATTCGTCTCTTACTTTATGAAACATAGCGTAAGCTTAATATTGCTGCTATTTCACGCTGGTATTCCGAGCGAGCGCGATTCTTTCGCGATCTAGTCGACCCATTTCTACTGCAAGCATAATACTCTGCAGCGCGTTACTACTGCATGAAGTTGGCATAGTTCTCCGGTTTGCGCTGGAAATACTGCCATCTTTTACAAGGTATTCTGGTAATAAGGTTGGATTAAAGATAAAATTGAAACAAATTAGTTTTATTTTTATAATACAACAGTCTTTATTCTTATTTCGGTAAATAATTAAAATATCTTTGAAGAAAATCAAACTGTAATCACATTTAGACGAACAAATAAAACATGTCTAGGAATTACAATAGTTGATTTTGCACTTAAAATTGTCGCAATAATGCACAGACATAATTCATAACTTAATCTAGAAATGCCATATTGTTATTGGTCGATAATGAGATCTCTAAAACATTATGTCCATATCAATAGTACTTCTTAATTTTCATACATTACCACTACATTGTATTAATAAAATGTTGTTAATACAGTACAGTTATGAGAAAACGTCAGAAAACAATACTACAATGTCTATACTTTTTTTACATTTTTTTGGTGTTTAGTATAAGTTTGATATATAGACAAAATAAGTTTGACAAAATATAAAATGTGTTTTATTGTAAGTTGTTGTACTATGGGAAATAATAAGGGGTTATTTAAATTTCAAACAGGGTACGATGACAACTACTTATCTAATATATAATATCTTAAAGCCACACTAGAATCAATCTGCACTAAAATATTTTAGACGGTTCTATAATACATTTGCTTGCCAAGGCGTGCAAGGCCTTGCGTGATAAAAAAATATAAGACACTATTGCAATCTCTGGTAATCTTCATCGCTAAACAAGTTACGATTTCTATGAATCAATTTAATTCACTTTCACTTTTTATACACTTTAGTTCTACATAGTTTATCACTGAAAGTTAGTTTTGACAACAAAATAAAATCACTTCACATCTTGCGTCAGTTGTGCTTAATTCTATCTAGACGGTTGTTTCATATTGCATTATGAGATCCCGGCCTCTAATTTCACATCCATGATTTTGCGCGGGCCTTTTAGACAATTGAGTCGCCTCTGAACTGCATCTCGGTCTGTAAATTTGATTAAAATTTGAAATACATTATTATTCTAAGTTTAATATTGTATGTACTAATGTGTGGGTCATCAGTAGAGGGTGCTGTGGCACCAGAATCAAGACGTAGAGGCGAGTTCGGTAGACAAGTCGTATATAATAGGTGTTGCCTTGCATGCATTTCACATGAGTTGTCATCCCTAGAGACTAAGATAGAATGCCTCGTTTCTAGTAAAAAGCATCTCCGGTTCTCTACACTCATCATATGAAACACAGCAGCACTAAGGTGCGATTTCACGCAAGTTCAATCAGTTACAGAATAAACAGAGCAATCTGTAAAGCCTTCAAGAACAGCTGCCCTGTCAAAACCAACACCTCGACACAAAAGGTTTCCTGATGGTGGAACTTTAGCTTTAACTTGAAAAAGCTCAAAAAACTATTAACAGGGCTAAGAATAATACTTCACAGGACTAAGAACACCAAATAGTGGAATCTTCATGGTACAGCACTAATACAATAAACAAACTAGGTAATCTTTATGAGGTCACTAGTTGTTTTAAGTGTGTTATTTGTTGGGTCGTTTTTAACCTGTTTACAAGTGCTTATATCCGACAAAAGTTCGAATGCCATCAAAAACATAACTTGTAAAAAAGCCAAGTCTCGCAACTCAGTTCTTCTACCGTAAAAAGTTGTGAGATCCATGTAATACCAAGTCGGTTAATTTATTCAGTCCCTACTTAAGGGTTCTTCTGTCTTAAGTTATAATATTATACGTAATTAGCTAACCTAACAACATCTTATAGTGACCAAATCAATACTAAAAATCTTTTATATTTTAAATAAATAGATTGACTTGGCCATCGCATGAAAACGCAATGTATCTCTCAATCTCAAGTAATACATATTAGGTATATTAAATTAGATTGGTTAGTAACAAATTCATCCAAACAAGGCGAGCAGGTAGTAAAGTAATATTTTCAAGGGCGACAAATGTACTTACAGACATGCAATGTTAAAAAAAACTATCTGCCAATAATTTTGTAATGAAATACCTACTTTTACACATTAAAAGCTATAGTTCAGTAAATGATGACATTAAGTACATGGTATGCTAATGTTTTATAATCCTTATGATATAGGCAAACCTTCTAAATAGTTGGCCACACTGGCCATACAGATGCTATACTTTTTTTTTTTCACCACAGGTGCTCAAACTTAGCAGTTAAATAAAGTAAAATATTTAAACTTATGTTTAGTGCCGTCTTGTAAAATACTACCCATAGTAGTTGAAAACTTTTAAGGGTAATTTAGAAACATCATTATTAAGGAACACATTAAACGAAAAAAAACCGATCTAGGCATTAAACTGCGGACGTGATAACCACAAATGTGAGCAGAAGTACGAATTTTCGGAATTTTATAAAACATGGCGTAGACCGCGAACCGTTCGGGATAGACTTTTTTTTAGGGAACCTAGGCCACCTCCTCCCCCGCCCGAACACGTACGTACCAGATTATCCAACATTACTGGGACATCCTGTATATATATATATATATATATATATATATATATATATATATGTATATATATATATATATATATATATATATATATATATATATATATATATATATATGTATATATATATATATATGATGATGACAGTTGAGGATACGTACGATAGATACAATTAAGGACGGGAATTATAACGGAAAATAGAATAGTATAGAGCTCCAAGGAATCAGATTTGAGTAGATTTTTGAAGGCAAAAAGGGACTGAGCACGTCGAATATATAAAGGCAAGGAGTTTCACAAGCGTACAGCTGTAACCGAGCATGATGTATTAAAGAAGGAGGATGAATTTATTAGTTGGTTGATAGATGTGATACTTACACTTGGAGAGCGTGGTGCGGTGCTGCGGGTGTAGCGGGTGGCGCTGTACCAGCGAGTGCAGCAGCACCTGCGCCGACATGTAGCGCCGCTCGCACTCCTTCATGTCGCCGAACAGCTCCTCGATCGCAGCCATCTGGCACTGCACCGACACACACTTTTACGTTTTACTCAAAGCTCACAAATCACTGTTTAACCTTAAGTTCGACATTATCAATAATTACCGTGGGTGATATCCGCATAAACATGTGCTGCCCACGATGCTCAAATTTTATATAGAAATAACTGCTATTCCATGGCTATTACAATTGATACTAAATTATCAGCAGACATTTAAAACCTACACTTGAATATGTTTTAGATTTGATTATGTTGACGACTCTTGAACAAATGTTATTTCTGACAAATTTTGAATTAGTACAGTTTAAAGTGTAAAATGACCCAGTTTGTAACAAAATAGTTCACCTCAGTCATCCCCGTTATTATAGTTTTGACTAGCGACCCGCCCCTACTTCCCCTGGATAATATAATAGATTATGTGGGGTTATTTAGATTTAAAATATTCAAAGACGTTTTTTCAAAAAATATAGCTTAGACCCGCCCTGGCATTGCTCTTTATCTGTTCGTTAAGTTTCATAATCGGTTTAGCCATTCTGAAGATTAGTCCGGACAGACACAAAAATTTTAAAAATGGTTATTTAGGTCTTAGTAGCATACATAACGGTGGTAGAGCCACGCAGCAGTTTTTGCTGCTGCACGTATGGGCCAGCTCGAGCCGGGTTGGTACCACGACCTCACAGAATACCGGCGTGAAGTAGAAGCTCTGATTCTGCGTTTCGTCTGGTGAGAGCAGATGGCCGGAGGCCCAATCCCCCCCCCCCCCCCCTCAACATTGTAGCGGAATTACACGTTCGACTACCCCAAGAGGGTACCAGCACCTCTGGAGAATCCCTCGCTGAGCATCCACGACCATGTTATTCCACTCCTGAGCGTGGGTGCTCAGGCTGCCCCGCGTGTTCTGGGGGGGGGGGGGGAGCGGCAAAATTTCGCTCAAAAACATAACTGCTCGGGGCAAACTGAGCAACAACACCAAGGCGACCGCTGCCACGCTATCCGTGAATTTCTGAAACATCAGGGGACTTCACTCGAACCTAAACGCAGTCCACTACCATCTCGAGACGGCGAAGCCGGCCTTGCTCTTTCTGACCGAGACGCAGGTTTCCTCTCCGGCTGATATTTCGTATCTCTCCTACCCGGGGTACAAATTGGAGCACTCCTTTGTGCCTCGGGCTGGAGTTTGCGTGTATGTCAGAGAGGACATCTGCTCTCGACGCCTCGGCAGTCTTGAAGGTTCGGACCTGTCCATCCTATGGCTACGCGTAGACAGCGACGACCATCCGCGCGTCTACGGGTGCCTCTATAGGTTCCATAGCGGTAATGCCGAAACAGACCGCCTCATTGACCACGTCCAAATGGCTACAGATTCATTGCTACAACAGTTCCCATCCGCAGAGATCGTGATCCTTGGCGATTTTAACGCCCACCACGCCGAATGACTCGGTTCACGTTTAACCGATCATGCAGGGAGATCTGTTTATCACTTTGCTTTGGCATATGGTCTGACACAACTGGTTACTTCGCCTACGCGGATTCCAGATGTGGAGGATCATACACCTTCCCTGTTGGACCTTCTGCTGACCTCTCATCCGGACGGATATCAGGTTTCCGTCGATGCCCCTCTCGGCTCTTCGGACCATTGTCTGATCCGGAGTGTGGTGCCACTCACGCTCCCCTGGCGGTTGCGTTCTGCAGGTTGCCGCCGTGTTTGGTATTACAGGTCGGCGGATTGGAACGGAATGCGGTCTTTCTTTGCATCCTACCCATGGGGGCGGGTTTGCTTCTCGCCGGATGATCCCAGCGCTGTTGCTGATTCTGTCACTGATGTGGTGCTACAGGGAATGGAACTATTTATTCCATCATCTGTGGTACCTATCGGAGGCAGATCTCAGCCTTGGTTTGGTCGCTCCTGTAAGACTGCATTACGCAATAAGCAGGAGTGTTATCAAGCCTGGGCTGCGGCTTCGGCGACTCGGGATGTAAACACCAGCACACTTAAAAAGAAGTATAACTTCGCCTCCAGGTCCTTCGAGAGTTATTGCCAAGGCAAAGTAAGAGCACATAGGCAGAATTGGCGAGAAACTAGTTCGCCTTCCTTCGGGAACTCGTGCATTCTGGTCTCTCGCCAAGGCTGTCCAAGGGAATTTCTGTAAGCCATCACTACCATCTCTGCACAGGGAGGACAACTCACTGGCCCAAGACGCAAAAGACAAAGCCGACCTTTTAGGCTCCCTTTTTGCGTCCAACTCGACTCTTGATGATGGGGGGAAAACACCGCCGACCATCCCGCGGTGCGAGTGCTCCATGCCGGATGTGCTGTTCTCACAGCGCTCGGTTCGCAAAGCACTCCTCTCCCTGGACATCCACAAGCCGAGTGGGCCTGATGGAATGCCCCCAATTGTGCTGAGGACGTGTGCTCCGGAGTTGGCACCGGTCCTAACGCGCCTTTTCCGGTACTCCTACTCCCAAGGCGTAGTCCCGAATTCATGGAAGACAGCGTTTGTCCACCTGATCCCTAAAAAAGGCGACCACTCAGACCCGTCCAACTATAGGCCTGTCACGATCACCTCCTTGTTCTCCAAAATAATGAAATCAATCTTACCTTCATCGTACCATCAATTGTACCTTGAAGGTCCACCAGCTGATTAGTGACCGCCAATACGGTTTTCGTCGGGGTCGATCAGCTGGTGATCTTCTGGTCTACCTGACCCATAGATGGGCAGAGGCAGTAGAGTGCAAGGGGGAGGCGTTGGCCGTTAGTTTGGACATTGCGAAAGCCTTCGATCGGGTTTGGCACAAAGTGCTTCTTTCGAAGCTCCCTTCCTATGGGCTTCCCGAGAAATTGTGCCATTGGATCACCAGCTTCCTTGCAGATCGGAGCATCAAGGTCGTTGTAGACGGTGCATGCTCCGACTACAAGCCTATTAACGCTGGTGTTCCACAAGGCTGTGTGCTATCACCAACGCTGTTTCTTCTGCATATCAATGATATGTTGCTAACTGGTAACATTCACTCCTATGCGGATGACAGCACTGATGATGCTCTATACACCGGCTGTGCCAATATTTCTCGGGAAAACGTCGCCGAGTACCGGAACAAACTTGTGTCTGAAGTCGAGTCTTTGCTGAACAAAGTCTCGGATTGGGGGCGACTAAATCTAGTCCAGTTTAATCCTCAGAAGACACAAGTTTGCGCGTTTACCGCTAAAAAGAACCCCTTTGTCGTATCTCCTCAGTTTCAATGCACTCCCCTTCCTGCCTCAGCCAGTATCGGAATCCTCGGAGTCGACATATCGAGTGACGTGCAGTTTCGTGGTCACTTGGAAGAGAAGGCCAAATTGGCCTCTAAAAAGCTTGGCGTGCTCAGCAGAGCGGGACAGTATTTCATGCCGGCACACCGCCTGCAACTTTACAAGGCGCAGGTTCGGCTTCACATGGAATACTGTTCCCATCTCTGGGCAGGGGCTCCCCAGTGCCAGCTCCTTCCACTTGACCGCATCCAGCGCAGAGCGGCTCGAATCGTCAACGACCGAGTCCTTTCCGATCGGCTCGATTCATTGGCACTGCGAAGAGATGTTGCATCCCTTTGCATTTTCTTTCGTATCTACCACGGGGGGTGCTCTGAGGAATTGTTCGGATTAATCCCAGCCGCCAAATTTCACGAACGCACATCGCGGCAGAACTCCCCATACCATCCACACCATCTGGATGATTGGCGGTCCACCACTGTGCGATTTAGAAGATGTTTTCTTCCTCGCACGACTTCCTTGTGGAATCGATTACCATCAGCGATTTTTCCGGACCAATACGACTTAGTGACCTTCAAGAAAAGAGCGTACTCCTTTTTAAAAGGCCGGCAACGCATCTGCGATTCCCTTCCTGGTGTTGCGGCTGTTCATGGGCGGCGGTAGTCACTTACCATCAGGTGAGCCGCATGCTCGTTTGCCCCCTCTCCTATTAAATAAAAATACAAATAAACCGTCGAGCTTAATAGAAGTCAGTTATTCCAATATTACAGACAGACACTTCAAAGTTATTTATATGTATAGCTAAAAAATATTCTTACCAGTTCAATTGCATGTTCGTAAAGAATTTTATCACAGATAGCTGGTGTGACGCCCGCTTCGTGTAGTCTCCTCGATTCATTGACGATCCATTTGTACTTGCCATTCATCAGAGATACGACTGTGAACAATATACACACATTGCTATACAACATACCCAAATCCGAAGTGGTGACTTTTATTGGCAAATGTCTATAAAAGGAATACATAAAAAAATGGCATTGAGATCAACATAAGCATGTGTAGTAGTGTAGACTAGTGTTGCCCAAATGCAAGAACAAGACGAGACTTAGCAAGTCTTGGTCTTGGTCTTGCGCCAATACAACCTATTTCTATGTTTTCTAAGTACTAATGATGCTTTAGAAAATAATCTCTCAGCAGGTACTGAAGTTGCAGGTATTGAAAGATAATCACGGGCCATCTTCGATAAAATCGAATATTTTGTCTCATGCGTCCTCCACCACTCTAAAATGTCTTCCGAGCTGGCGGCTCTGGGTTTACTTAGGTACTCCTCCAACTCGTTAGTAACTAAGCCTTGCAGACAAAGTCCAGATCCATTTTTACACATTTCAAGTGTTTTAAAACTGTCTCCAATATTTATCAAATGGGTGACGCCATATTCGAGCACTTTGTGTTTTAAAAACACACACTTTCAAAAGTCGAGGTTTGCAGTGAACTTATTGAACATGTCTATCTATTAGGTAATAATAATAAGTAATTATAATAAACCCATATAGTTAATGTTATAATAATTACTTACTAGAATAAATTATTATGATATCTACCTATCCTTATTATTATCTAATTAAAGAAAGAAAGAAAGAAAGGTTTATTCTCCAAAATGACGCCATCACAGATAACATAAAAAAGAAACACATAATTTACAAATAATATTGGCTATACAATACAAATTACAATATTCTACATATTACAAACTATACAATACCAATACTCATATGTGTCAAGGCGTCATCTGGGAACAGGAGCACACTCAGCATAATGCCATGAATTTTTTTTTCTCTCCATGGCGCTGATTTTCAGTGTGTCCAACCAGTGACTTACCGAAATCAGTGCTATACGTATACTCATGACAGAATTATGCACAGCATGGGGGAAAGATACAGTAACTATCTTAAGTGAGAGGGAGAGAGTAGAGTTCAAGGTCGAATGCCACTTCGACACAGCACGTCCCGTTTATGTTGCTTTCAGACGCTCTTAGAAGGGCTATACGAACACTCAAAAGGGGAGATTATTAAAATACTATAATGGGCTATATACTACAAAAGGGAAATTATTAAAATACTATAAAGTGCTATATAATAAAATGACCAGATAATTAGTAAAAAAAAATGTAATTATTGAAGAATATAAAAGTATATAAGAAGACAAAAGCCGCATTCAAAAGGACGATTTTAATGCTCCGTTGTTAATAATCTATGACGATGAGGTACGTAATCGTGCAAAGCGTTATAAACTTTGATCAAAGTTAATCTGACTTTGCAGTAATTGTGTTCTATATTTATTTTTAAATGTGTGTACTGCTTTCAGATTTCGCAAAGGAGGCGGTATATCGTTCCAGCACTTGGATGCGGCGTATTTGAAACTTCCTCGGAAAGCGTGAGTGCGGTGACGAGGCACGACGAGAGTATTCCCTCTAGTGCGTGTATTGTAAGTTTTTACATCACGTGACCATATGAGTTTGTCAGCAAGATAAGGAGGTGTTTTATTTTTTTAATACCCCGAATAGGAGAGTTGCCATGTGTAGTTTTCTGCGATATTCCATTTTTAACATTTTGGCATTGTCAATGTAAGGGGTAACGTGCGTGCGGGGCGGTATTGTAAAACTAAATCTTGCACATGCATTTTGAACACGTTGCACTAGACGTCGCGACCGCGCTAAAAGTCTCGGGCCATATACAATGTCCATATAATTAAATTTCGAAAGGACAAGAGTGTCACACAATTTTACCCGAATATCCGAATTTAAAAACTCCCTTATTTGATAAAGAACCTTAAGTCTATAAAAGCAGTTTCTGCTAGTACTTAGTATGTGGTTCTCAAACTGTAGTTTGTCATCCATTAGTAAGCCCAGATTGCGAATCTCATTTACACGTTCTACGATTTCCTCTCGAATTTGGATGCATGCCCCTCTTTCTGATATATTTTTTATTTGATTTTTAGAACCCATAATTAGTAGTTTAGATTTAGTTCCGTTTAGTACAAGGCAGTTTGAGTCGCACCACGCGGCTATACTTTCGAGGTCTTCGTTGATTTTATTAACGACTTCTTGAGTATCACGCGGATTACATGACATGTAGACTTGCAGATCATCTGCGTATAAATGATATTTACAGTGCTTAATGTTTTTTACTAAGTCGGCACTGTAAACTGAAAACAATATTGGAGCCAGGTTCCATCCCTGGGGCGCACCGGCTTTGATTTTTTTTGATTGCGAACGTATTAATGTTCCTCGGTCATCGCTCAGTTCTACAGTTTGTAGTCGGTTTTTAAAATAACTATCGAACCATTGTACTGCGCTGCTACTGAATCCATAGTAATGAAGCTTTGATAAGAGAAGGGAAACATTTATACAGTCAAATGCACGAGAAAAATCTAGTAATACTAGTATTGTGCCTTTTCCTTCATCTTGAGCGGTTAGTACATCGTCAGTAAGTTGAGCTAGGGCCGTTGTGGTGCTATGGTTCTTACGAAATCCCGACTGCATTTCCGGTAGAATTTTTTTTCTATCTAAATACATGGTTAGCTGTTCTGCGACAATTTTTTCAATAATTTTAGAGACACAGGGGAGAATACTGATGGGCCGAAGGTCTTTTTCAGACAAAGGATTTGAGTTCTTAGGTATGGGTTTGACTAACGCATGTTGCCATAATGTCGGATAGGTGTTAGAGTTAATGGATTTGTTCACCATAGCAGTAATAGTTGGTAGTGTTTTCGGAAGGGTCATACGGAGCATATCGAGAGAAATCCCATCAATGCCTATGGCTTTAGATTTTAAACTTTTAATGAATTTTAGTACCTCTAGTTCATTTACCTCCTTTATCTCAAATATGTCATTAACGCAGCAGTGGAACTCAAAGTACGTTAAATATGACAACGAGACGTTTCTATTTCCAGGCACGTTTAAAAAATAGTCGTTACATTTATATATTATATAGTCATTACAATATTTCTTGCGAAATCTATATCTTGCGAGATAATGTATTCGTGTCTATTCTGAGCATCCGGAAACTTATTTTATTCTTTGGAACATGTACTCTGTGGCGGCAATCAAACAGTGTCAAATGTAGTGTGTACGGCGCGGCGGCGACTATTGTATGCGATATCAAAGTAGCCGCCGGCACGTGTATCTTGACCTTGCACTTTCGAATAGCTGCATAATTTCTTTGACACGTCAGTATCCGACCTTTGATGACGCCGACAACAAGACGCCGCGCACTATCAAAGTGCCGATGGTCAAAACTAGGGATGCACTCTTTTTTCTTTTAATGGATATTTTCATTCGTTATGTATGTTTATAGTATTGTTCGTAATGAGCATAAGTCCAATTTTCCATTTTTTTATTACATTTTTTGCGTCTCATAGAGTCCCTAAGCGTATACCCAAACTCCTATACTCCCTGAAACGACACTCAGTCCTAACTGCAAGACGCAAGAGTCTCGCAAGCTTAGTCTTGTTTTTGCGCAAATTTTGGACGGTCAGTCTTGGTCTTGGTCTTGCAAAAAATAGGCGGTCTTGTTCTTGGTCTTGGTCTTGCAAAAATGCAAGAACAAGACCAAGACCGATTTTGGGCAACACTAATATAGACATCTAGTGGATAGCCCTGCAGTTTGCTTATCGTTAGGAGGTTGCCACACGAGAAACTTTCGTCCTCATAACTTGTCGGTTCTTTGAGCTACATGGCCGTCCCATTGCAACTTCGGCTTACTGAACCGTTGAGCTGTGTCGGTTCCTGTGATTCTACTGCGGATATTTTTATTACGGATTCTATCGCTCAGATATTACGTATATGGGCTTCATACATATACTATGTCCACAGCTAACTGAGCGTAAGGCTTAAGTTTATTCATACGACTAGCAGTGCAAGGCCAAATCTCAGAACCATATATCATCAATGGCATCACGCACTGGTTGTACTCTCTTGTTTTTTTTTTTAAATAGAATAAGGGTAACAAAAGAGTCGTAAGGGTAGTCCACTAGGTGATAGGTGGATGCTGTGGTCCATAGACATCTACATCTATCCTAGATTAAGAAAAATGTGAATATGTTCACTTCTGAGGACTAATTTAGAATGTCTCGTTACTAGTAAAAAGGTCTCTGGTTCTCTTCATTCACCATAAAAAATACAGTAGCATGATATTCTGTGAGAGCGTGGTCCTTCCCCGGTTGAGCCGATTTGATAGCAACCACTTGAGATTTGGCTCTACAACTATAATAAAATGTTGAGGAATATGTTAAGAGATGTGTCGCAATTTCCTGAACGCTACCCAACTGAGTTAGAGCCGCCGATGGACCTCTGGGTTGAAATTCGACAGTAAGTCCTAGGTAAACATACCCGTCAACGACTTTGAACGTAGTATTCCCAACAACTACTAGTAGGTGTGACATGGACATGAATCTTTGACTTGTTCATATTAATCTTAAGATCTATTCGTTAGAAGACACTATTTGTGTGTTTGTATATGTATGTATGTGTGTGTGTGTGTGTGTGTGTGTGTGTGTGTGTGTGTGTGTGTGTGTGTGTGTGCGTGCGTGCGCGCGTGTGGGTGTGTGTGTACGCGCGTGTGAGTGTGAGGTGGCGAGGCGGCAGTTACCGTTGCGCACTTGCGGCGTGGGCTGCAGCGTGCGCGAGCGGTAGTGCGCGGCGGCGAGGCGCAGGCCGGCCGCCAGCGCCTGCATGGCCTGCACCAGCAGCCCCAGCCGCACGCTCGACCCGCAACGCTCTGCGACACATACCGCATTAACCTTACCGCGCCAACAATACACCCACCCATTCATTCACTCCACTACAGAATAACACTCACGTACGACCACACTGAGCAGAGCCGTGGCAGCTCAGCATGGATCCAACCTGGGTCCAAGACCCAGGCTGGATCCCCGCTGGCACCAATTAAATTGTTAATTGCAATTTTAAGTGCTGATTTACCACGTGCTCAGCGGTGAAGGAAAAAGCTACAGACAACATGCATTGGGACAGCGCGGCAGACATTTCCTTGCCTTAAGACGCTCTCAGAAATGAGGGGAGGCCTGTGCCCAGCAGTGGGACGTAACTTGTAACGTGTTACTTTTAACTTTAACGAGCACCTAGTTCACCTGATGACAAGTGGACGCTGTCGCTCATAGACATCTATATCTATTCTCGATTAAGAATTAAAATGCACAACTATCACTCCTGAGGACTAAGATAGAATGCCTCGTTTCTAGTAAAACGTCTCCGGTTTTCTACATTCATAACACGAAACAACAGCATTCAGCTGATATTTTACGCTGTATTCTGTGATTCTGAGAGAGCGTGGTCCTTCCTCAGTCGAACCGACCCACTCGCACTACAACAATAATATAGCTGCAGCATGGCTATACCGCATAAAAATGTGCCAACTAAACTGTTTTACTTAAAATATTTGCCCGATACTATACTCCACTACAAATTATGTTAATAATCTATTATTTTTTTATGGTTCACATTGTACGTCAAATAAATTTACTTAAATATAATATGAGTTTTTATGAGAAAAACTCTTACAATTCTTATAACTTATTAATTGCTTTGTATATAAATGTATAGGATTATTAATAATTTCATCAAATCCTATAAAACTGTATTCAAGGTAGCATCATAACATAAACTAGCTGTTCGACTTCGCCGGCGTGTAATTTAGGGTTTTAATTTTTTTTGCACAGAACCCCAATTATTTTCTAAAACAAAAGTAGCCTAAGTTACTCCTTATAACATCAGCTATCTGCCAGTGCAAGTCCCGTTAAAATTAGTCTAAACATTTCGGAGATTAACCGGAACAAACAGACAGATAAACAAAAAGTTTAAAAATTGTGTTTTCGTTATACTCGTAAGTAACATAATATATACTTTCATATGCATTTAGTAAAAATCTGTTATTTTTACACTTTTTACAAAAACAGACAGACAATTTTATTTATTTTTTATAAATTTAGGGATAACTCATTACTTTTCAGTTGGGAAAAATCATTAATAATAGACTATTCAACTGGCCTATTATCAACACTGATTAATGTATAGGCAATACCCCCACACACTAGCTCTTTATAGCCAACTGCAGGGATTCAAGTTCTAAATCTCCAAAGTGATTTATCACCATCAGTTGGTTACCAACACACAAATACGGTTGGGAAGCATTTACCAATGCGGGGGCATTGGCTCTATGCAAACTATATGGGCAACTATGCATTTACAGATAGAGTTGTAGCAAGAATGGGTCGGCACGACCGGGGAAGGACCACGCTCTCACAGAATACCAGCGTACATAGCAGCTTAATGCTGTTGTGTTTCGTTAGGTGAATGTAGAGAACCGGAGACTCTTTTTACTGGAAACGAAGTATTCCATCTTAGTCCTCACTAAGTGAGGATAGATGTAGATGTCTATGGGTCACAGCAACCACTTACCATCAAGTGGACTGTGTGCTAGTTTTACCTATAAAAAAAACCCTATCTTATTAAAAATAACTCATTCAAGCAATACACACCTACTAGCACAGTATTAGTGAGGCTTGTGTCCAGCAGTCGACCAAAGAAAATTGATCTAAAGACTTGATAATTAAGTAGGAAATAAAGGCACTTCTTTCCACTATAATTAATTGGAAATGTTGTTTACACATTGCAATTGCTAGTATGAACACTATTTAGATAACAATCTAGTAAATTATTATTTTTTAATAATTTACACCTGTAACAGGTGCCTAATATCATCAGCCACGCTTATGCGATAACATTTAAGGCAGATTTGTGGGCGACAGGAACAATGACATCATGACGCGACTAGACCCGAAAAACCAACAATTTGTTTTTGCACAAATGTTGGCACCAGAAGAGAGATGAGATTCTTACAAAGAATGTAGTAAACAGGTATTTGAACTGTGGACCACACTTTTACGACAACACTATCACTGAAAGTCAAAACTTAAAAAGAAAAGCAATTTGAGACAGTTACCATCTGATGTGTCCATGAGAGCTGCGATAGGGGCTCCGCATGAGACGGCAAGATCGGATAATAGTTCTGCGAGCATAAGCACGAAGTTCAACTGAGAGAAAACTTTGCTATGCTCCTCCTGTGAAGCAAATGAAAAATATATATTGTCAATTCTTTTATTATGCAATCTACATTTTTGGGAGTTTTCAAGCAAAGCTCTATTTGTTAATAATATATAAAACACAGATATCTAATACACATAATATAAAATAATAGTTTTTTTTGTACATACACTGCAAACTATTGAAAAAGAAACATTAGAAATCACACAAATTCACAGCTTATTTGGTCAATCCGGCAGTAATTATAATGTTAGCAACATTTTATTTTTAATTCTTATGCGACAATCTCTACTGTGTGCGACTGTTTGACCACAGACGTAGAAGTGCTTGACATTGATAGTGTGAATACATTTCATTATTCATTGTTCCTAAGGATATTGAAAAGTAAGATATTATTATCATATCACATGGTGTTATGCTATATACTCTACCTGTACCACACAGCGCGTAAAAGTGATAAAATATAAGTAGGTAGTAATAGTAGTAGTAGTAGTAGGTAATATCTTTAACCTTAACAATGAACAATAATGTCATTATCAGCAAATTACTAACACATTGCATAACACCTCGGTGTATTCTACTACCAACTAATATCAAAGGATTTAATTTGTTTTCTTACAACACCTAACCGTACAGTAGGAGCGGCCTTAACAAAGGCACGTAACGGGCAAGTGATACAGTCTCCAACACGCTGAAGTAAGGTGCATTTTGATTTAATACGCGCACCGCAACAATCGGTAGGCTATTTTAACGGAGGTTGCTTCCAAGGCGTGCAAAGTATTATGAACATTAGCGACGTTAACTAGGTTTAAACTCGCAAGTTTGCTGTCAGAGTGATTATCTATTCTGTGGTTGAGGTATGAACGTATAGTTTATGCAGGTGTGAGTGTGGGTGTGGGTGCCCCCGAACGGGTTCCCGACTTGTCTTAGGTGTGGGTGTAGGTCCCCTCGAACGAGTTCCCGCCTTGTCGTGACAGGGGGTTTAATAGCCGTGGCTTGGTCACCCACGGTGAACTAAGAGGAACCCACATGGCTGGCCCGAGGTGAAGGGCCGGTCTGAGGTGGCTATTCCGAGAGGACTTGACGAACCCACTTCGGATGTGTATTGGTGGGCTGCGGCGGGAGAGGTGTTTTCTGCCCACTATCGCTGCAGCCGAGGTGGATTCGCGGAGGAAGAGGAGTGTTGGTATTGCGATGCGCCACTCGCCCTATCCTCCGCGGCTCTAACGGGGCCACACCGTTAATACGGTGGTAGTGGGTCTGTGAGAGGAGTGTCGGTATTGCGAGTCGCCGCTCTCCCTACCTACCGGCCATGTCTTCTGGCGCGCCTTACCTGAGAAGGAGGTATCTTTCCCCGAGAAGGAGCCGCAAGCCGGCGCCGGTGGGGCCGCGGATGTGAAAAAGCGTTCCCGTGGCCTTGCCAATATGCGACGAAAGTAAAACACTATGAGGTTTTAGTTGGTGCGAGTCATACATAACCCAACCTTGCCCCCACAAGGCGGGTGGTATGCGCAAGCATTTCCCCATGTAAGAAAGGGTGTTGGTGTGGGTACCGCGAGTATGGTGTCCTCCTGCAGGTTGGGTATGTAGACGGGCGGGTCGGGCTGGTGCAGCTTGAGGCCGCGCAGCAGCGCGTCGGGCAGCGCGCCGCGCTTCGGCGACGCCGCCTCGCCGCTCGCCTTCAGCGCCAGCGACACCGGCGGCGACGACCCTGTTGCAAACGCATTTTTCTCTATTATAGCACACAAGTAAAAAAATACGCACACAATGTTACACTGAAAACGTGTGAAGCATTTACAAACGCACACAAATACATCAAAGTCCGACTATCAGCGCCAGTATACAGCGCGCGTCAGCTCTTATTTACCACAGAGTACTTTATACGTTACTGTTACAGCATATTAAAAAGTTCACTGCTGAATATAGGTCTTACCCATAGATTACCTCATAAGGGGGATATTTGCTATGCTTGCTACGCTTGGCAGTGCTTTATTTTTTAGTTGTAATTAGGAAGACATTGCTGCCCATCTCCTGATTTATTTTCCTGTCGCCTCTTACGACAGCCACTGTATGATATGGTAAGTCGATATTTTTACTTCTGTCTATCTAATGAAATTAAAATTAAGTTTATTTAAAACGTCCCGCTGGAATTTTTGTTGGTTCTTCCCAGGATACCGGTTTTTTCCGAAATTGTGGTAAAAGAAAAAAAAATTTACATGTAATTTAACCTTGCAAGTTCCTAAATATCCGTATGGCGATATATTTGTCAGAGTTATAGACCCCGCCAAAGAGTATAAGTAAATAGTAATATTTAGAAGGGACCCCTTAGAACAATAGATAAGAGTGTTCAGAACTTACGAGTGTACAAATAAGCAAGGTATAGAGCGCACGTATCGCTCAATGCCCATTATGCCAAGCGTAACCAGATGTTTTATAGATACTTATACAGAGTTGAGAGTGGTCGAATAGTGATGCGCTAAGATTGCCGCCTATACGTTATTGTACTTAAGTTATTAATTTGATTATGTAACTTGTAAATATTAGGTAAGCGATAATTATAATATATGTTTTAGCTCAATAAAATATAGGTATGAATTTATGAAACGATGTTTATTAATCAAACACAAAAATCTAATTAATTTACGCCCCCTTAAAAACCATATTATACAGGGTATCATAATGGAGTCAAAATGCTAAAATCCCCCATACATATGTATGACCGAAAATGAACAGTTCGTGAGATATATGGATTTTAAAGGTTTTTCAATACTCATCCAGAATTTCGTATTAAATTCTAAGTAAAAATAAAACCTTTTTTGTATGCTTTCTTTTAAGTTTATTTATTTTCTTGAAGCTTCCCCAAGTAGTAGATTTTGGAATCGCCGGTATAAGGTACTGACAATATTGCTTGCAAGTCGAATGTTATAACACGCTTACTACCTTCGCTCTCTATGCTTTCTTTTTTGTCTTTCACTTTCATTTCTAAAGACTCCTTTTCTCTTTTTTGTGCTCCTCATAATCTCTTTGCAAATCAGTTTTGTCTTCAGCATATTTATAAATATTTTTAATCTTATAAAATGCTAACGGCGGGTCGTAACATTTAAAAATTTGTTCATATACATACCAAGAAACAGGATCTATGTTTTTCAGGGCAAAATTCCTGTCTGTATAATTTATATAAGCGAGAGCCATATTAAGGTTATTCTCCAAATATTTTTTCTTGAGTCTTTTCTGCAGTAGTGAGACTCGATTCTGGGAAACATGTTTATGTATTGTTTTAGATAGTTTTTGACCTCTGCAGTAGTTTTGTTGCCAGGAATAACACCTTTTCGTTTATTATCAGCTATGTAAACGCAATTCTGCCCCAAATATTTTGTACAAGTATCAACAACACTTGTACTGATATTAGAAGTATTGCAAAAATGTTTGCCAAACTCTTTATTTTACCCGTAGTTCTGTGACAGAGGTAAAATTGTCTCGACATAGCGCAATTTTTAATCATGTTTAACGTCCATGTCACACCTATGTCGGTAGTTGTTGGGCGCACTAAGCTCAAAGTTGTTGACGAATATGTTTACCTGGGACAAATAGTCCGACTAAGTAAGTCCAACTTTGACGGAGCTGGGTAGCGTTCGGGAGATTACGACACATCTCGTCGGACATACCTCAAAACTAGATTGTACGACCAGTGCGTGTTGCCGGTGATGACCTATGGATCTGAGACGTGATCCTTCACTGCTGGCCGTATGAGGAAGCTTAAAGTAGCTCAGCGAGCTATGGAGAGGGCTATGCTCGGCGTTTCTTTGCGTAATAAGCTTAAAAACGAGGATTTCCACAGTAGAACCAGAGTAACCGACATAGCCTAAAGAATTAGTATTCTGAAGTGGCAATGGTCCCGGCCATTAGCTCGAAGAACCCACAACCGATGGGGAAGAAAGATTCTCTAGTGGCAGTCTCGTACCGGCAGGTGAAGTGCAGGGCGTTCTCCCACTAGATGGAGTGACGACCTGGTAAGATATGCAGGAAGTCAATGGATGCAGGTGACTCGGGACCGTGCTTAGTGACAGTCTTTGGGGGATGCCTATGTTCAGCAATGGACTTGGAAACCTTTAAACTTTTTTTAAACTTTAGCAACCACTGTTAATGTAGTACTATTGTTATTAAATCATTTACATCAACTGTCTACATTTTATTTTTAGTGGTGTAATGATCTTAATGCACTAATCCTTTTTGTGCCTTTTCCTGACTGAGTGGCCAGCTATAACAATATCACTAAACCTGTTTCTTCATCGAACTTAATACAATGGCGAACCGAATATTATTGAATGCCAAAAATCGTAAATATACTTAGATTCATTGTGTTCACAATTTAGGCTGAAAAAGATGGAATTATGTTATTTTAACAAGAGCAAACGGTAGAGCATGCTCATTTCGTTCATTTGACATTTACATGTAAAAAAAATTGCACGTTTGTCTTCTAGACCATCGAAATGTTAATTGATTTTTGTACGATACGTATTAAAATCTTTGGTATGAATAATGACGTACGATGACAACAACCTGAGTTAAACATGTATTAAGGCAATTACAATTAAGAACAAAAATGGACGAATACTGGAGAAATACTTTCAAATGTGTCATATTGTTTTGCTATTGAGAGGTGTAAGTAATACTATGTAGAGTGTATCAATGTGTAGGTAATAACCAAAGTCATTTCCGTTAAATAGGAGTTCGTTATATGAAGTTTACAGAGTAATATGTTTTCAAAATTCTTTGCAATATGTTGAGAAAACAACATTTAGATTACAATCATCGACCGAGCATTAGTTCCTTCGTGTCCAATAATAGTTCACATGCGCATATATTTATCACGCCACATATACGTAAAATCCACTTTAAACCATTATTTTATCGACAATAACAGGGTCTGCAATTCGATAGCGGTCAAGTTCCCGCCAATCATCCGGTATAGGATGTTATCTGATGTTATTTCCGTTATCTTACCGTTATTTTTTCCTTAGAGTATAGAGATAGTTCATTGTTGAGTTACTGAAATATAGTCTTGCTATCATAGTGACCTTGAAAACTAGGCTATCAATAAGATTATAGCTAATATCGATAACGCAATATAATGAGATAATACTTGCAATTTGCAAGCATGTCGATAATATTAAAGTTTCATAGTCAACAAACTATTTATACAATTAAAAATTCCTAATTGTAATTACTACTATAATATATGGTGAATTAATGGTATCAATATTATAATATAAGGCATTAAATAATAACGGCAATCTGTGAGAGTGCAACGATATATCAGTAAGTTGATAATGTGAAGATAAAATATCGTTATGATTTACAAATCCGATCCGATCCGAATCCGATCACGATATCATTGTACAAATTGATGTATGAAGTGTCATAATTAAAGTAGACTGAATAAATTACTTTCTTATTGCATTAATTTAATAAAATGTAATACAACTTACATATTTCAGTTTTTATTGATGTACAATTTACTTAAGATAAATAACAATACTTTCCGTAACATTGATTGGTCCTTGTTTTTAATTAATTCCTATTTATATATTCGTTCATACGCCATAACGAATATATTAACATAATTATTTATATTTTGAATAATATTCTACAAATTTTGATGTATTTGGTAACTTTTTGGCTAAAGGCCTTATATCCAATGCCTCAATAAATAAAAAATATATGTGAGCAGTTCACACACAGTAGAAGTAAAATCTTCAGAAAATTGCATTGTAATAGCATCATCTACTTCATTCTATAGGTAAAGTCATTTTATCTAACAAAAATTTATTGACTTTCAATATGGTAGGTACGTAAAATAAACGCTAGATGGCCTAAACACGACTAATTTAAATATAGATCGGTAAGTTATAAGATCGAGGATTGTTATTCTATATTTATTTATTTCATGATTTCGTTAATATTTAAATTGTTTATTTTAACAACAAAAAGTTAGATCAATTAAGAAGAGACGGAGATAATAGGAAACACTGTATACTTTATTCTATCTTATTCTCTCGCAGGCTAAATTTTATAGACGTATATGTTTGTCTCTTTTTAGTGTCACTTTTGCGTTTCATCGAGTTTCAAATGACAAGGATTGTAAAGAGGTGTTCAGTTCAAGTCGGCAGTATGGCGAGTAGTGTGGTACCTGATCTGCGGAGCGGGCTGGCGTTGGTGGGCGAGACCTGCCACAGCGACGGCGGCGGCGAGCTGCCCGACGCGCTGCGGCGCCGCGTCGACGGCGGCGTGCCCATCGAGAACGGCATCTGCGCCACCCGTGCCAAACAACATCATAAACCTTCTCTATCTACTAAACATTATATGTATATTATACTATTTATAATGTCCCCAGATCCGAATTTCCCATCACCCTTGTCACTGACCGTCGACCAAGTCTATGCGTGAACACAAGTGGACTCTCTATTCCCTCACTCTCATAGTCCTATGGAACGGTAATTCAATACGACGGAAGAGAGATCAGACATAGGACTAACGGCTGAGACACAGAAGTGAAACATCACCAAATTTCTGACTCCGGGCTGCTACTGACAATTTCTTGACAGAAAAACACAATAACTGATTTCTAGCCCAACCCTAGACCTCATGATCAGTAATCGTGTTTACGAGCACTAGAACAACGACGCAGTTAAACGCACTATAACCGTGTAGTGGCGATGTTAGAATGTCCACTACCTAATATCATCCCGTGGATGTCGTAACAGGCGACAGAGTGAAACAAACTAAGACATGGACAGCTAGGCTGTAATGGATTGATGGATGAATGGATGTGTACTGTAACAGTCACCCTTTTCACCAGCCTTTAATAATCCACAGCTGAACATGAGCTTTTCGCCTTAAGAACATTGGCGATCGCAGTACCAGCAGTCATTGCACTACCGTCATAGGTCAGGTATCTGACGATGAAGTGGAGTTATGGATTCTCTGTATCATCATCTAGTATTATTAAAAAAATAAATTGAAGTCACAAATGAACTTACAGTTCACCTGCTAGTAAGTGGTACTGCAGTCTATGCACACCTATAGCTAACTACAAACAAAATATATAGCCCATAAGCACCTGTATCCTCGATTAAGAATAAAGATATGTATTAAGGACTAAGATGGATTACCTAGTCACCAATAAAAGGATATTTGGTTTTCGTCAGTCACCATTACAAAACACAACAGCATTATGCTGATACTTTTTGCGATTGTAGTCCCTCTTGTAATATACTATATTATACACAATACGGTGCATAATAACAATAATAACGTCGGCTGTCACTCGAAATAGGGATGTTCGATGATCATCGATGTTAAAAATTAAAACATCGATGTTGACATATGTCAAACATCGAAAAATCGATGTACATGAACCCATAATCGATTATTGGGAACTTGTGAACTATGCAAACTAGGGATGTTGCAGAAACATCGATAGCTCAACATCGATGTTAGCATCGATAGCTCAACATCGATGTTCGATGTTTAGCCTACTGAAAAGATCGATGTTGACCATTATCGATGTTTAGCCTACTCAAAACATCGATGTTGACCATTATGGAGGTTTTTTTTTATATGTGTAGATACTTACATATTAATCGCAAGTTCCCAATAATGGAATCTGTTTGACATGTGTCAACATCGATGTTTTAATTTTTAACATCGATGATCATCGAACATCCTTAATGGGATTGGGAACTTGCGAACAATTTGAACCCGCGAAAACAATATCAACTAAATCTTGAATTTCCTCTGAAGATTTAAAATCGCATCGCTAACCAAAAAAATATCATTGTGGTGTTTCAAACTTAATTGTCAAGTGTCACCCGTAATGTCACAGTGTTCATTGCTTTCGCTTTATTTTGTAGTGTCGTTGTCGGTTGTCGTAATAACTATTCTACGTAAATTGATATTCAAGTTAATTGTTACTTTTTCCATTGCTGTGTATACCCACATAATTTTGAAACAATATGTAAGTATCTACACATATACAAAAAACATCGATAATGGTCAACATCAATGTTTTGAGTAGACTAAATGTTGAGCCATCGATGCCAACATCGATATCATCATCGATGTTTCTGCAACATCGATCATCCCTAATTCGAAATCAGAACCCCCATGGGTATTAATTAATTAAGTTACCAATGGTTATTGACTTTTAACATAATATTATGACTTATCTTTATACCCATTATCTTATTATATTGTTTTGACCATTAAGAGTATAAAAATTTGTATGCTTTAATTAAAAAAAAATAGAATTAATACTAACAGAAGGCGGAGAGAGTGATCCGATGTTAGTCGTGTTTCGACTGTTGTTTGATCGGAGCACGTCGATTGGCTGCGACCTGGGCACATTTGATGTAAGGTTGCCTGGATTCTGTGACAAAAATAAATAGATAATTAATTATTTTTTTATCATGTCATGCTTAAACCACAAACTGATCTGGGGCTTTGAACTGACTCCAAAAAAAGAGTTATCAATTCGAGAGTACTTTTCTTCAGGGTTAATTAATGGATTTAGAAAACTGAAATTTTACCAAGAGTCAATTTTCACCCATATCTAATTGTATTTAAGGTCAATTTATATTATAAAAAAGGAAATAATTAAATCATCTGTAATTAATTTTGACAATAGAAAAGGAATTTGTGAATAATTAATACGTCTCTTATATTTTTATTATTTTCAATAGCATCTTGGACATTGAACCCTACTTTTGAAATTGTCGTAGCAACATAACCAGCACGCTTGTGTGAGTGCGTCGGCGTCAGTGCGTACACTTAACACTATGTCATCAAGGATAGTATGCGTAGTGGAATACGAGCACTAGGATAGTAATAAGGAGCCGCATGGCCATCATCACATGCAGGCGTGGTACGGAGTATACATAAAGTAAAGGCGGCACGCACCCGTAGTGTGGCGGGCTGCGTGTGTGCGGGGGCGGGTGCGGGCGCGGCGGGCGCGGGGCTGGCGGGCGAGGCGGCGGCGGGCGCGGGGCCGGGCTGCAGCGCCAGCGACCGCGGCCGCGGCGCCGCCTCCGAGCTCGACGACTGCCCCGAGCACTCCGCCGACCCGCTGTCCGTCGCCTCAACCACCACGAAGTCCTCTTCCCCCGCCCACGTCGTGTCCGACGATTCCGCTGCAATTATACATCATATCATGACATATTGATATTAGTCAGTACTGAAAATTAGCGTTCTGGTTTCAACACAACCTTTTTTGACATACATTCGATGTACAAAGTCGAATTTATTAAGCCTTCGTGTTTTTGTCATAAATTAGTATAAAATTGTGTGCGTCAATGTTATGTGTCAAAATAAAGTCTTTCTTTCTTTTATAATAGGAGCTGTAGGAGGAATATTAGGATAGTTTACTATCTAAAGCAGGGATTCCCAACCTTTTTTGACTAGGGACCACAAAGTGAAAAAAAAAACTATGTAGATCTAATAATAACTTTTAACATAATTATACAATAAACTGAAGAGAAGCATTCATTCACAGCATTATTTGTGTATTTATTGTAAAAGAAATCAAACATGTTTGGTAAAAAATTGCGATTTTGATTGCGACGCGACGCGATTACCCGCGTGACGAGAAAATAATAAACGTGTTATTTAGAACGATTAAGTAAGTAAAATGTTTAAATATTTCGCGGACCATATTTAAGCTCTTGCGGACCACTGGTTGGGAATCACTGATTTAAAGTAACGATTAGCTGATGTATAATATCCATCCAAATATACAGAACTCGGATTCTATAGACTGGTGATGAACAACAACATTATCAGTGACAGTGACTGCTTCGGCTCTACTCTCATTAACCCTAACTAAGGATAAAAACGAAATTTGAATTTTTTCCATCTCTCGCACAAACAGTACATAGCCCAAAATAATTATAATATCTTGTGCTATAAATCTGCTGCCTCTTGGATCACATTTTGAATTTTATCTTATGTAATATTAAACTTGAGCAATTCCTTCAAGAAAAGCATAATATCTACTTCTGCAAATAGTAAAACAAAACAAACCAGATCGCGAACATATGATTAAAACATATTTTCATTTATTTTATTTTATTTAATCTCAATGTTAATGTCATCAATTCCAAACAATCACAAAACCGCAACATAAGAATTTATTGTTCTTAAGACAATGGCTAAGAGTGGTGAAATGAAATGCTGCAAAACGAGGGCAGTCTGTTGTGAAAGTGTGTTTGTAGGTAAAGCATCAACAACAAATCATTTTGCATGGTGTAATAAAATTGACATTTATTCCACAGTTGATTAAACTATTTATGTCATTGCTGTATTTTACAACACGTTTGTATGTTTTTATATTAACCAAAATATTCTTTTTTTATTAGATTTATCGCGGACATGAACTTATAAAGTAGTCGGAACGTAAATTATAGCTGTAATAAAGTTGATATAGCAAGCTTCATATAATCAAGGGTAGGCAAAGGTTATCTAAAACTGTTTCCGAGTTGAATACAAGACTATTAAATTGCTGAAGATTTATTTTTTCACAATAATTTAAATTTAATGATATTTTTATGAATAAAAAATTGATCCCATTTGGTTTTATTGTAAATTGGCCTAGTATCTGACTGTGTACTACTGAACTCTAGGATGACCTATAAAAAGCACTGCGATATCCCAGTACAATAGAGAAATTATTTAATGATTACAATTATTGTTTTATATTATCAATAAATAAGTAGACAATAAAATATTATTGACCTGCGCATAGAATGAAAGTATTTTGATGTATATAATCGCGTTTAATGTAAACTTGTTTCTTCATTAATTAGAAATATTTTACTTTAAAGAATTTAGATCAATTTTTTTTCCTTTGAGATGAGAAGTCTTCCTGATTGTTTTATGTGTGTTGCACAAGTATTGGGACTTAAAACAATGTTTATAATAAAAATATAAGACTGATATTCGATCTAACAGACACAGTACAGAAGAACTTACTCCTTTCCGGATCCGACGTAACGATACCGTACGTACTTGCTTGATAAGATTAAAAAAATATACAAAGAATAGTTCATTCTATGATGCAAGCGGGAATCAAACTTGGATGGCTCGCGTATATCATCATAATCACATAAATGAACTTCGTGACAGTTTTTAATCGTTTGTGTATGTTGGTTGTAATTATACAATAATAAAAACAAAAGTTTATTGTACTGAAGTTAAATAAATGTTTACAACAAGTTATAAAATAGAATGTTATTAATGAGACATAATATAAATATTACGGACGTTGTTTGTAATTTAAGCATAATGCTGATGCTGTTTTAGTAGTCGACATTTTTAAATTTGGACATGTACTTAGTCAACGGGCCCACATATAAGGGATTTCAGTGATTAATAACAGACTGAAAGTTTATACACAGCTTCGTTTTGACGAGACACCCAACTTTTATCATTGGACCAAATTCTGATAGTGAGAGGAAAAAGCGCGATAGGGAGCGTTACAACACGTCGATTTGATGAGTGTCTCAAATTAAATAATAACAGTTTCTAATAATCAATACTTCGAGAAAATACGATGGAAAACTGAGAAAAACTTGTGGCATACAAAGTGAATGGTACATTCCGAGTGACCCCCAGCTCTAACATGTCAGAATGGTGACTTGAAAAAAATTATTAATAACAAGCTAATTTTTGTTTTGGGGCTTGCAAAATATATATTTTTTATAAAAAATACATCGGCATACAAATTTGTTGGTAACTTTCTTGAGACCCGATGTGGGCCCGTGGACTAACTCTCTCTGCATTTTATATTTATATTTAATCAAATAATAACAATCCTAACAATCATAACAACCATTTACAATTACACTGCTAATGATCAGCATTCCTTGGCCTTCCCAAGGAACCCTAAAAAAAAAACGGTATTTTACTGTCTAGTATATTGTAATTGCATCTTGCACACATCCAATTATCTATATGAAATTGTAACTTTCTCATCTAACAAATTTTATGATTACGCAAAGTCAAAGAAAAGTGGCAAAAACTATTGAAAACGCATATCACGCAAATTGAGTGCAAACAATCATGATAATGTATTTAAATTGTGAGAACGAATATTAATAATTGAAAACAAAACTGTTCGCTTGCTGGATGTGGTGATATTGATGATTGCCGCAAACCCTTCCAGCAATGGGAGAATGTATGTGCTGATAAAAAGTAAAGAAGAAATTTCAGAAGAATTTTAGGTTACTTCAATATGACACTTTAAACATAACATTTTATTAAGACGGTTAGATCACTTTCAAAACAAGGTCTCTTGAGAGATTTATTCAGTGAAAGTAGCCAAGCATACCTTGAAAGATTTGACCACACCTACTATGCTGCACCGTTAATACTGTTCGCATCACCAATCCGTATGATTTGGCTTCGGCATTTTCGATATCGCGTCACAGTCGGTGGTCAGAGTTGCGTTCCTCAATTAGCAGGACGCACCGTGTGCGAGTGAGGTCGATAACTTAAAAGTAGGTTAAGTTACCTGTACACTGTTTTTTGAAAGTGTCGATACCCTAATGGATAGCATTCTCAGAGACCCTTGCATCTTAGTTTATGCAAAGCACTTGTCCCACCCCCGACGAGGTAGCGATTAACTATAGACTATTTTCTTGTTTAAGAAACGAACAATAGATATACAGGGTTATTTTTCAGAGTAGCCGAATTTTCAACTTAAGTTCATTTATATAAATAATGATATACCGTTATTGCAGTTATTGAAAATACGAGTAAATAAGGCTACTACTTTAATTTGAAATTATCCCAAATTGAATGTGATTTATGGGAAACAACGTTTTTGCTTACCGGTCGACCTCTACGAATGTGTGTGTTTGCAGTAAAATCAGTTAAAATAACGCACTACCGCGCATTTTGGATTTAAAATATAAAAAAGACTGTTTGAAAGAGAATGTTTAAAATTTTTATTTTTCACCATTTGCCTATATTACTTATTTTGAACCTTCTTTGCAAATTTGGTTGTTTATTGCAAAATAACCCTGTAGATCCCGTTTCAATAAAGAGATACATTTAATAATAGTTGATAGTTGGCTGTTTACATTGTCGATGAAAACTCTCTCTTCTCTGGTTTGTCGCAGCGACAAAAGCTAACAAAGATAAAACGAGAGACCAACCAGCGGTCATTTTACTCTACAGTGCGGATTTGAGCGCACTCGCTTATAGCTCAGCGACAAAACTATCGGAACTACACACTTGCTTCTCGCTGCTCGCCAACTCTTATCTAGCTTTTAGCTTTACTGGTTTCTCGTTCACCCTTGGTGGTGGGACAAGTGCCCTAATCTATACAAATAAATAAAATTGGAGTGCCTGTTTGTAATGTCAAAATTACAGCTTTTTACTAAATGCATATAGAAGTATATACGGTATTAATAACAAAAATACAATTTTTAAAGTTTTTGTCTGTCTGTCTGTCTTTTTGTTTCGGTTAATCTCCGAAACGGCTGGACCGATTTTGATGGGATTTTCACTTGCAAATAGCTGATATCACAAGTAGTAACTTAGGCTACTTTTATTTTAGAAAAAGAATAGGGTTCCGCGCAAAAAATGAAAACCCCAAAATCACGCGGGCGAAGTCGCGGGGAACAGCTAGTCATAAATAAAATGAAAGAGGTTTGCGATTGTGCGCGCATCTCGGAAAAACTTCTGGATAGATATCAATTAGGTTTCCTAAGTTTTATTTTTTAGACACTTCATATCTAAAAAAAATTGCAATATCTTCGTTTAATATAAAGTTTTAAGAAACAACGATTTTTATAAGCACTAGGTGTTCAGTGATGTGTGTTTTCTTTGTTAATATATGAAGTAACGTGGACGAAGGCGCGGGTATCAGCTAGTGAGTGATAACTCTCACCGGAGGAGACGGGCGCTTTCTTGGCGAGCGCGTGCGGCTGGGTGGGCTGCGGCGCGGGCATCTGCGGACGCGGCGCGGCGGCCGACCGAGCTCCCCCTCCCCCTGCCCCTGCCGCTGCCCCGGTCCCCGCCCCCGCCCCCGCCGCCGCCATGGCACCGCCCGCGCTGCACGCTGCACCGCACGCCCCGCCACTTGCCCCTGCTGACGCATCACACTTTAATTATCATTTATCACACTTTCATCACTCAAGCGGCTCGGGTACCACTGACGTTCAATTGACCAGTGAATTTTTATAGCTTATATTTGAGACTTTTATCTCACCATATCAGGATGTAAATAGATAGAAAATGTGAAATACTGGTACTCATCCCGCATACTTTTTAATAACTATTTAATTTATAAACTAACCGATTTCATCTATTAAAAGCATTTAAAATTTGTAATTTACATATAACAAAACTGGTGGACTTTATAGGAATGTACGTTCCAACCTCGAACTTTGCTTGTACCGGCTTGGCACCCTTCTCAGAAGTTATATTTTTGGTGGGAAACTTTTTTCTTTGTTTAATAAGCTTTTATGTGTTTTATAGTAATATAAATTTTGTATTATTTATATCTCAATCTACGCTTAAAAATCAACCTTGATGCCAGTTTCATATTTGTAAATCACCTAAAAGTGGCGTAAGTTTTTGATGAGTAAGTTAGTGAATCAGGCAGCGAGCGAAAAAATGGAACTTCTTAATAATAATAATTTATTTAGTTCTAAACATAAACACAAATTAACATAGCAAAATAAATTAATGGAATGGAACTAAAATAGGCTTATTTAAATATAATACCTTTAACTATGTACATGTCAATATTCATAAGCCTTATTAGGCTTATTCATGACATTTAGGATACTAGGTATTAAAGACGTCCTTATAGACATGCAAAATTACAAAATTAGTGTGTAGGTCTAATATTTCAGTTATGGGAGGTTTCGAAAATAGCTCAAAATGATTTGTGTTACACACTGCCATTGCGTCAACTTTTTCTTTTACAAACTTGCCCAACTGACTACCGTATATCTAGATTTTAGGATTAATAACTTAATAGAATGTATTATCGAATGTTGAATAAATTTGAGATTACTCATCAAACATCCATTATCGTTACAACTATGAAAAATAAAATAAGATGACAAAATAAACTACTCGTATTCATTTTGTACGTGGTTCAGCCATCAGCCACCTTGCAGCTGTGCTATGGCTGCAGCCGTACGGGTCGGCTCGACCAGGAAGGGTCCATACTCTCACAGAATACCTACGTAAAATAGCAAAATAATGCTGCCGTATTCATACAGTGAGTATAGAAAAACTGAGATAGAAAAACTAAACTCTTCACTGGTAACGAGGCACTCCGTCTTTTATCTTTAAGGACGACAACGTATTTCCATTTTGATCCTTAGTCTGTATTCTTGTCACCTTTTTCTTCTGTTAAAAAAGGTTTTATGGCCTTTAAAGGTAAATTTTAAAAACTGCTTTGCGCCATCAGACCTGACGATTACACGAAGCCGTTAATAATGTTGGATATTATGCCATATAGCTGTTAACGCTATTTATAAGAAAATATGTTTACACATATTTTCTTATAAATGTATATAGGTATTCTAAAATTTAATATTGAACTGCAATAAGTATTCGGTCAGAATAAACAGAAAAATTAAGCACATTAGATGTGATATGAATTCAAAGCATGAGGCGTATAACATTGACCTAGTCCTTGAAATTTTTGAACCAATATTTATTACGTAACTTTGACATTCACCACGAAGCGTTAATGAACAAATAATCAAAGCCATGCTATTTAATATTAATAGAAAGTTCACATCACATAATGAAAATTCGATGCCACATACATTGCATGTGACTCGCACATTAGTTAATTCACCCCATGCAACAAAAGCAGTAGTGTAAATAAGGTATACCCTGGCTGTCCCACGACTCCTCTAGGTAACAGTTAGTATTGACTTGGCCCTCCATATCGCACTCCAATATGTCAGGCAGATCCGAGTCCAAACCTATACAACAATATAAAGTAGTTCAAAAAATTCCGGACTAGAAGCTTGAATGAACATAAAACTTATGGTTGGTCATGTTTTAAAAAGCTATGTTACAAAGCATGATAACTGTTAAATAACGGATTAACCTGCAAGATTAAAAAAAAGAGAATATAATAATATTATGTAATGAAGTAGTGGGTTTTTGTTATTTTGAATATGAACTCTGTTAATGATTAACACATTACAGGAATTTAAATTGATTATTTAACTATCACCGGCCTAATTAACTAGGTTAACTGATGAAAGAAATTGCTAGATAGTATGTATGTATGTATTGCTAAATAGTATGTAATGACAATAATAATAGAATGGCTACAAATTTCGAAAGCGTAAACAATGGAACTCGTTACAGCTGATTAGTCATAAGGTCTGATTTAAGTTGTATTATTTTATTTGTGTTTGGTTGCCATGATGTGCATTAATGGAAAACTGGGACAGTGTTATCTTAGTTTTAACTTAAAGTTTGTTGAAGATATAACAAAAATCTTAATTGGCATATATTACGGGTAGGTGACTGTCCAAACAATATACTAGTACCTCTTAAACTCTATACTATGTATAAAGCACTATAGTTTACGACGGTAAATATATTTTTGTATCTCTACGTTGCGTAGATAAAGAAATGTTCAGTATTCATTATAATTAGAAGTTTAACAACCCCTGTAACTAGGAAATTAAAACAATAAACTGCTAATAAATTACACGTGTATACATAGCAGCACTACGTAAGATAATACAGTGTTCTTTTGGACACGTTTTGTTAGAAGCATCTCGTTTATGTTTAGATGTTAAAGGTTTTCACAACGTTGTTTTAATATGTATAATTTAAAGTAAGAAACTCACTCGTAATAGAAGTAGACCGTGGACGTTGTAAAAACGAATGGTTGAAGAACACTTCGAAGGGCATACGTTCGCGTGGGCTTCGTCGCAGTAAACCAATTAGTAGATTACACAGTTCTGGACTCGTGCCCGCTGGCATTCTGTAAAGAAAGACTCTATATGAATTCATTGTGTAGACGTAGCACCATTACCAAACACCTAAATTAAAAATGGTAATTATGAAATTTTTTAGCGTAGATGGTGATTTTAGCTTTTATGTATGAAAAGGGTTATATTTTGAAAGCTTAATATTTAACTTTCGAGAAAAACCAATAAACTAAGCTTTGGTTCTTATGATTTTGGAAGTACTGGGTTCGACACCTGCGTGACTCGTAATAGGATCAAATACTCCTCCTCCTCCTCCTGATCCCGCAGTTGCACTATAAAAACAAGAAACTCGAAGTTACAATAAATAACCAAATGGGAAGTTGATAGTGTGGGCAGACGAAATCGAACCCGCAGCCACTTCATGAAATGAAATACATTAAAGATAAAGAAGTTTTCACCAGAACCGATCGAACAGAAGTTAACAGCGAATTAACTTTTGTATTTTTTTTTAATTAAATGCATCTCATTGCAAATTACTTGATTATATTTGCTGATAGAATTTACTTAAGATCGGTACATTATTTGAAAAACCTTTTTCCGCATAAAATTAGGTTTATGCTATTTCAATTTTTTCTAACCCACCACATGTTTGGTTCCCAGACTCGAAGCAAAATCTTCTCAGCAAGTTAAAGTGCCACTGTTATTAAGGGATAATAGCATTAGATTTATTTTCAGTCTGCGAAAACAGTCATATTTTTTTAAATTAAATTGTTCTTTAATCATGTAAATAATAGTGTTCTTTTGTTTGTCCCTTTCAATGTTATAAAAAAAGGTTTACTCCGCGGGTCTCATCGTTTGCAGTCTTAAGCATAGCTTTCACTGGGATTTTTGTTAAAAGTAATATTGTGATCAGTGTCCGACAATGTATACCATATTTGACACTTATTAAATACTCTAACAGTTTCCCAGTGTGTGTATTATTTAAATTGCATCTACGAATATGGATGGAATTCAAGAATCAAGGCACACAAGGTGCGATAGCTTATTTTGGTTTGTCGGATCGATATAATTGCTTGCAACTTGCACTTGACCTGATTTTTGTAATACAGATTAAAAAGTTGCAGTTTCGATGAGTACGTTTTTAAATATTTTTATCGCTTTTGGGTGTTATCAAGTCATTGGCATTGTGCTGGATTATGTTAAGTTTTAGATTTCTGCATACTAATAAAAGCAAACACGATTATAGTAAGGATACAAAATATTATTCAGGTTGTGAAATATTTATAGCAGTGTTTTCAAAAAGTTGGATGCATAGGCGATAGAGCAGTAACAGGCATCTCGTATCTTTGACGATTTTGTGTATTATTTGTCGTTTGGGAAATATTTGCATTACTAGTAACTGCAGTAGTTTCTGGCTAGCCGAAAGCTTTTACATCTACATCGGACAAAAAGTGTGCGTTGATAGAACACTCTTATTGTTGTTATTTCATAAGGCCACTACAACTTTCAGATATTTTCCCTCAGATAGATTTTTATGATAACCATAAGACTAAAAAAAGGTGATAGGTTCTTTTACACCGTCATCAAAAGGCTAACACCAAAACTAGCACTATAACACTATGATTGCTATGTGACACATTTTCCCCGATTAAATTGCATGGTCTTCTATTGGTGCTATAATTATAGTACTATTATTCACTTAATTTCAATTTTAAGTGCATTGTGTGCTTGACGGTAGAGAAAACCGGCATGTCTAACATAAAATAATATATTCTGAAATCATGTAATGTACGTCAACAAACATTAGTGCAGTGCAGTAGCATCTTCCCTGTTCCATAAAACTCTCAGTAATGCTACTTTTTTAATAGGATAAGGGTGACAAACGAGCACACAGTCCACCTGATGGTAAGCTGATGTTGTGGGCTGTGACGCAAAGACATCTAAATTTATCCTCGATTAAGAATCAAAATGCAGATGCGTTGTCACCCTGAGGACTAAGATGAAATGCCTCGTTTCCAGTAAAAAGGGTCTCCGGTTCTCCACACTCACCACACGAAACACAACAGCATTAAGCTGCTATGTTATGTTGGTATTCTGTGAGAGCGTGGTCCTATCCCGGTCGAGCCCACCCATTCGTGCTACAACCATAATATAGCTGCACCATGTCTCTACTACGTTGAAATGTTTTCTCAACAACGCTAACACAAAGACACTGAAGCAAAACAAATTACAAAACCACCAGACCCGAAAACCCCCAATTTGTATTCTCACACAAAAGCGTAGGCTCTGGCTAGGATCTGAATCTAGAACCGGCGGCGTACAGGTACTTGCTCTGGTCAACTAGGGCACACGGTTGATAAGAAATTAATTTGGATGAACACATACTTGGGCTGCAGATCGACGCTGTTCTCGTAGAAGGCTTTAAGCTCGTGCGGAGTAGTAGCCTGGAAGGGTGCCTTGCCCGTAAGGCACTGGTACACAATCGTGCCCAAGCTCCAGAGGTCTGCTTTAGCGTCGTACTTCAATGACATTATCACCTCAGGTGCCTGTCCATAAAAAAAAAACAATTTCTCAACAATATTGAAATTTATGACTTTTAGTGATAGAGAGCCTATAGCGGAAACTTAAAAAAAGCTATTTTTTTATTGTGTCATAAGCATAAGCATAAGCATAAACACTCACGCCTGTCACCCAGAGGGGTAGGCAGAGATTATGGACTTCCATTTGGCACGATCCTGACACACCTCTCTCGCTTCCTCCACATCCATATACCTACGCATACACGCTCGTCGGTTAAAGGTACTCTTGATTTGGCCCATTTTTAATATATCGCCAATTTGGTCGATAAACTTTCGCCTAGGGCGACCCTTCCCGACTATGCCGTTCACCTCTGCAACATAAATTTGCTTTGTCACTCTTTCCTCATTCATTCTTTCTACATGGCCAAACCACCGAAGCATTCGTTTCTTAATCCTGGTCACAAATTCATCTTGCAAACCACACTCTTCTCTTATTAAACAATTTCTCACTCTGTCATTCAGATTCATCCCTAACATACTCCTTAATGACCGCATTTCAATAGCATTTATTCTACTCTCGTGCTTCTTCTGCCACACCCAACTTTCACTACCATACATTAAAGTAGGCACTAACACAGCATTGTGAATTGCCATACGTGCCTTTTTGGACACATTCTGACTTTTGTCATAAGATGATGTAATAATACCGAAATTGAAACCAACTCCCAAACTATGACAAATTCTTAAATTTAATTTTTTATCCCATAATATCAAGCTCAGGAAGTATTTCCTTTTTGTAATATAATTATTGTAATAAAATATTCCAAGTATATTATAGATTTACATTATGGTGTATTGAGTGTTGTCAGTAAATTGATTCAGATTTTGGACCATCAAATGTGGGAAAACAACTAAAATTTTGATCTTTATATTATATTATTTAATTTGGTTTGTAAGTTAAAGTCAGTGTTAATTACATTATTGAAGCAGATAATGGTATGTTCTTCAGGTAATTAATACAATCTTAATACTAAAGTAATAATTTTACAGAACTTATAAACATCACATTGAAGTTACATGATTTTAAATACACTTAAATTATTTTAATATCTTTAATAGCTTCCCCCAGATTGCTTTTATAGGGTTTTGATAGTTGCCACGCTTGGTTGGTGGGTTGATATAGGGTAGTGGAATCACTAACGCTGCCACTACACTGCAATTTATAAATATTGGTTATTAATTATTATTTACCATATACATTGGGGAGCCGCAAAGTGTGACAGCCATGTTGCCCTCTTCGAGAAACCTTGCGAAGCCGAAGTCCGCTATGGAGAAGGAGAGAACAATTAATATATATTGCAAATATAAAAAAAAAAAAACTCAAGCGGCACAGAACTTCTGTTACCAAAATTTGAAAGAACCCTAAGAAGAATAACGAAAAAGATATTTTCAAGAATATTAAAGATACATATTACATAAATACACGGAAAAATATAATTTTACTTAGGTACCACCACAGATTACCCCCGGTAATCTGTGGGTACCACAGTCGCGAACAAAAATGTTAAATACAAGCCCCTACTATATGGCAATAAAAGTTTATAATAAATTACCACAGGAAATATAAAACATATCAGATTTGACTAAATTTCAATCAAGACTCAATAAATGTTTAAAACGAAACCCCTTCTACTCAGTGGAGGAGTATTTAGATAAAAAATAACACTATTATGTATTTTTATATTTTTTCCTAACTTCTAAGTATATTTTATATTTTATCTATATAAGCAGTGTCCCTGTCAAATTTGTAGTGCCTGAAAAGGGCGTCTAAGTTGTAAGCACATCTTTAATTTAAGAGTAATTATGTACACTTGGACTGCAAATAAATGATTTGATTTGAATTGTTTAAATATTTACATTGGCATTACACCGTATCAAAAGGCCACTGCTGAACATAGGCCTCTCCAAAAGCCTCAGAGGGGGAAATATTCCGTAGACAGTTGCCTCGCTTGGTAAGCGGGTTGGCAACCGCAATTGTTTTATTATTTTAAGTTGTAATCAGAAAGATGCTGCTGCCTATCTCCTGGCCTGTTTCAGTTTCCCTTTGTCTCCTCATGCGACATCCACGGAACTATATGGTGTAGTGGATAGTATTCACATGGACAAGTAAAATGTATCTCGTCTTCAGGGAAAACATAGATGGAGAAAGCAATTAATAGGACATTAAAATATTAATGTATATTTATAACGTCCTCCAGATCGAAATGTGACGTCGTACAGGCCGAATTGTGATTACGTTGGCCAATCTCAAGGGAGAACCAAGCACAAGTGCACTTGTGTAAATCCTTAGAGAGATCAGGTGCTGGCCCAACGGGTTTTCGTGCTATCCGCAGCATGGTAGTGTGGACCCGGAATTCGAACCCGGATGCACAAGATCAGCAGTCGCAGGCAGTCATAAATTATATTATATGAGAGTGATTTGGAGCTAGAAAGAAGAGAATAAAGTCCCCCAACTGCCACAATGCGTTTTGGTCAACTTCACATGTCCTCGAAGTAATTTGAAAGTTACAGTTAAGTAGTAGTGTTTGACAATGTTATCCTTCGTCGCTAAGCACTTGCACTACTCGCGTATTACGATAAAGGCGAGCGCTTATTCTGGGACTTATCCTTGCCTAGAGGTTTTTTTTTTATAGTATAGGGTGACAAACGAGCACACAGTCCACCTGATGGTAAGCTGTGGTCCATAGACATCTACATTTATCTTCGTTTGCGAATCAAAATGCATATAAGTTGCCACCCATGAGGACTAAAATGGAATGCCTCGTTTCCAGTAAAAAGGGTCTCGGGTTCTCTAGTAAAAAAGGTTACAAGACATCTGACATCAGGCTTAATTATGTTTGAAATTTGTGATAAGAATTTTAAACAATATAAACTAAGGTATTTGATTAACAATTATATTGCCAATTTGTGTGTGTGTTTATCTAAATTGAAAAATATTAGCTAATAACGTACAGCAGTAATTAAGAAATAAAACTAGATGGTCAGTAGAAAGTGTTTCCTTTAAAGGTTTTTATAAAATTAATTGAACGGAAGTAAATTCTACGAGTTATTAGTAAGTAAGTTAATAACAAAGCTTTTCGCAGACTTTCTAAAACACGTTACAAATCATATGTTTGGCGTTCTACTTAAAACCTGTTTTCGTTCTTTTATAGCTATGGCCAGTTGTGGTTGCGATAACTCGTGTTTTATTGTAAAATTCATTCAAAACCTACATTAAAACGAATACTTAAATAAATGTAGAATTTATATTATATTTTTATAAAAGTAGCGTGTAAATCGGTAACTTCATTACAATGGCTAGAACTTGGCCTTGTCATTATCAGCAATTTATTTATTTGTCATTCACAGTTAACAATTTCTGTTAAGCTGTTATGTGACTTTTGATAATGGAGTAAGAATATCGTATCACATATATAGGATAGGGGGGAACTTCACTGAAAGCGTAAAAGAGAGAGGGGATCATCAAACATAATATCTCCTCTTCACTAACATCTAACTCTTCACATATTGGTGTGAGTATAATTTAAATCTTTTGATATATTATTACTAGTCTAAACTGATTTTACTTTAACAAGTTTGGAAAGTTGTTGCTCTTTGCTAAAATATTTAATTTACAAAGTAACATTTTAAGAGCCTTTTATTTATATTATTTTTTTACAGTTTGAAATGATAAAATGAATTTGAATAAGGCCGCAATGGCTAAGCTAAGCGGTTTGCTGCGGTGCTGTGACTTGAATTCCAATCCTACTAAGAACAACTATTTGTATATCCTTCAAAAAAATGTTCTCGGTCTGAGATGTTTGTCCATGTGCATGTCCAGAGCATATAATATTATGTCGACCCCAATGGTTAGTGGTCACAGCCGCGAATTTTATACTCCAAATTTTATTTTACAAAATAAAATAGTTGTTTTAGGGGCGAAGATTTATAATTATTCTCCCTTATGCTTGCCTTAGATCTTATCACAATAACCGTATTGTAAAGGGTACGGTAGGGTAGGTAAAAGGTAGGGTCTACGTTTTTCCTATTTTTAACACTGATACGGTCTGTGTATACTGCGTACGTTTTGCATCTATGTTGTCGTAAAAATTTCTATACCTAGGTAGTTTACATAAAAACTTAGAAGCATCAAGCGAGAACTTGCTTACCGATCTTCAGCGTGATCTCGGCAGGGTGGGGCGTGCGTGGCGGCGCGACGTTGTGTGTGAGCAATATGTTCTGCGGCTTGAGGTCGCGGTGAACGATGCCTTTAGCGTGAATCGCTCTCATCGCTTCAGCAAGCTGCCGCAGGAAGATACGGATCGTGTTCTCGCTCAGCAGCCTGTTTGCTTGCAGGTAGTCCGCAAGGTCGCCACCGTTGCAGTACTGATGGAAAATAAAAACATGCTCATTATGACGCGGTCGGTACATTGATGAAAATAAATACTGTTGATTAGAAGGGCAAAAATAAAATTATTGAAACATCCTCTTGCGCGAATAAAAACAAACTTTCCAAGTGCATGTGCAGATTATTTCTGATATTAGTTAAAAAGCAATATTGTTCGATATACCTTCCCATCCCAACCCCTAAAATCTTATAAAATCAAGAAAGCTGTGTAAGGCATAGAATTATCATGGAGGTAAATGGTACTTTTACGATTACAAAAGACTGGATGCTTAATTTTTAAATTTTAGTTTAGTTTATCTCTGAGATCGATTAGTTGTAATTTGTTAATCTCACACCTAGAAAACACCACACAAGAAACTACTTTCTTTTTAGAGAATAAGAGTGACAAATGAGCACACAGTCCCCCTGATGGTAAGTGAATGTTGTGACCATAGACATCTACGTTTCTATCCTTCATTAAGAATTAAAATGCAAATGCATTGTCACACCTCAGGAATAAAATAGAATGCCCCGCTTTCAGTAAAAAGGTATCCAGTTCTCTACGCTTATCATACGAAACAGCAGCATTAAGCTGTTAATTTACGCTGGTGTTCCCTGCTTCAAAATTCTGTATGAAATGCGTACTGTTACGTGACGAGACTTCCTGCATGTCTTACCAGGTCGTCACTTTATCAGGTGGGGCTACCCTACACGTCGCCTACCAAAAAGTCGATGGATGCAAGTGACTTGTGAAAGGCTGTAATAATGATGATAATAATGACGTGAGGATATCACCATAGATAGGGTGTGATTCCGTTCGCCCAGGCATCAAACCGGCACGATGGAGCCCATCCGCGTATTTAGCACACGTCTACTACCGGACAGAGGTGTTGCTCATTTAAAACTACACGCGTTATTTACACATCAGTATTCAAGTGTTGCCTAGATTTAAAAAATATTTATATAACATAATTAAATACGTATGGTAAAGACCATTATCAATCATAAATATTTAGAAATCAATTTATAAAATATAGTGCAGTCACCTGACCGACAAGTTCTCTTTATCTACCGACTTCAAAAAGGAGACGGTATTCAATTCGACTGTATGTATTTTTATTGTTTTTTTTTATGTATGTTACCTCAAACTTTTTTCTGGGTGAACCGATTTGGATAATTCTTTTTTTTTACTTGAAATTTCCCATGTGGTCCCATATAAGTTTGACGAAGCTCAGATTTATATTGAAGTCGGTTGTACAAAATTTTTAATTTTAAATTATCATAATAAAGAGAACTTGTTAAGTCTAAATAAATCACTACTCTAACGAATTAAGTAGCGATTTAGTTTTGAATTAGCTGTACACACAGGCGTATAGTGGGACCCGATCATCGTGTTAGCATGGAATAAAAAATTGGTGTTAGTGGGTATAGTAGCTCACTATGTAGATATCGCTTGCACAATATTTATAAGTAAACGTCATCTATTTTGTAAGATAAGTCGGAGTTTTGATTGATTCTGATAAATTTAAATCATTTCCGGTTCAGGCGGCTGCATCATATATTTTTAAAGAAATCGAGTCACAGCGTATTTTAAAATTGTGAAAGAAATTGAAAAACTTGGATTTTAATTAAAAATTATAATGTCAAAATAATAGCGGACGTAAAAATTTGTAAACATTATTAGTAAAAAGGATTTTAGACTTGCTAAACATAGGCGACTTGTTTCATAATGTTTGTTTCAATTTTGTGTTCGTCAATGGGAAAATTTGTTGCTCTATAGAATTCCCATTTGCTGTAGATTGTTATTAGCATAGTCGAAAGAAAATTGTATTTTAAGTGTGAAATATATATCTCGTTTCAGTTATTCGGCCCGGGCCGAATTAACCTGAAGCCAACTAGGCAACTATCTATGGGCCTTGCGGTCTTAGAAAAAAGTTAGTAAAGTACGTTATATACGATGTGAAGAAAAGAGAGAGGGGCCTTACACTCGTATTGCCTAGGGACTTTGCCCCATATATTATATGGGGCATATTATATTATATGGGGCAGAGTCCCTAAAATACCATTTTCTCGTTTATGTTAAGAATCTTTATCGAGTTTGATTCGCGATAAGCTGCGCCATGCCGTCCGTAATCTTATCAATGAGTGATAATAGTTATAAGTGTCAGTGAGTTACGGGCTTCGCACTCTGATGGTACTTGTTCGCGACAGGTAACTTCTGAATCCTGTTGGTACGCGTATCACAGTAACCATGAAGAAGAATCATTTCTTCCTGCTATTATTGGGAGTTCTTGCGTAAGTAATTTAAGATTTACTTACTACACATGCTTCGTACCACAATTATCATTTTGACTACTTTTGTTTACTACTCATAATCAGTAGTAGCCGAGTGCGAATTATGAAACTATGCATACATTGTAAAAATAATAAGCCGCTCCATCAACGAAACAAATGTTTTGAGATATTGTGTAGCTATGTATTATAATAAGGTAAGTATAATTTTTTGTTAGCAGAACTTATTTTTAAGTATGATTACGTAGTTTTAGCAATACGGTTACGTAAATATAAAAATCATTTTGTTTACACTACTGTTATATTTTTATAGGATGAGTTTTTTTTTAGTTTGTATAGACGTATTATTAAGAAATATATGTCAGTAAATTTATAAATTTTAACTTTATAATATTTGAACCTTTAATTACATATAAGTCAAACTATATCCGATAATTACGACACATTAGTTCAGAATTAATCAAATTTTAGACACACAACATAATAATTACAGTTTTGAAAATCTTCGGTTACGCCCTTGCAGATAGCGCCATATTTATCTATGTACTTAGCAATTTCACGTCAGCTCGTTACGATAAAAATTATTTGATATAGTCACATGATTATAATGTATCGAAATCAATTTCCAGTTCAAACGTTGCAGCCGGACAGAACAATGAATTATACATCCCGTTAGAGAGTGACAATCAGTTTCCCCCGGAAAAGCATTCAGATATCGAGGACGGTACCATTGAAGGCAGTGGCAATGGTTTTGTTGAAGAACCAGGAGGCACAACAACTGAGTTTGGGATAATACCGAAAATCGAAGACATCAAACCTTCTGTACTCTTAGAAGAAGAAACGCCTTCAACATCTGATTCTGATGTCGCCTGTCCAAAACCATGTGTTTGTAACATAGAAGGAGATTCAAATAATTTCATCGTAGATTGTTCAGGATATGGTCTAACAGAATTCCCATCTTTCATAGATCCAAGAACAACTACATTGAATGTGCAGAATAACAAACTAACTGCAATACCTAAAGAAATATCTGTTTTAAAGAACTTAAAAGTGCTGAATGCGAACAATAATGAAATCATGGAACTGGCACCTGGTGTAAGTATTAAGTATTCCGATAATTCTTAAAGGAAAAAAGTCAAGTTTTAAACAAAAACAAACAATGCAATATCAAAAGACTATGTCTAGACTGTGTCTGGTAGAACTGTCTCAGTAAGAAACATTTTTACCATATAAACTAAGCTTTATGATTCATAAACACCATCTGAACTTGTTCGTTTTAATGTATCAATGTTCAGTTTATAAATATTTACAGAATCTTTACTTTACGTTAAGTTTGAGTGTAATATTGTATAAATAGGTTATATTTAAAACGTCTTTCAGTCAATCAGCGAGCTGCCCGAATTAGTGATACTGAAACTTGCAAATAACCGACTCATAGAATATCCCAGGGATTTGAAGAATAGCCTTATTCTTACAAAATTAGAGGAATTAGACTTGGGAGGCAACGACATGAGAACTGTAAGTAACTAATTAGGAATAACCAATTTAAAGAGTAAAAAACGAAAAAGTAAGCAAAACACAGCGATCTAAAAATGCAGTACAAATCAGTCACTCAACCAATTCAGTCAAATGTACAGTCCATTACTGAATACTACACATATCTAATTCTTGTTAAGTTTTATTATTACTCATTTTAAAGCACGCTGCTTAAGAAGGAAGTTGAGGAAATACTTATTATACTTCTACTCTCCTACCAGGTAAACAAACCGAAAACCGTGCCTAAAAAATTGCGAAAACCGAAACCAAAATGTTCCACAATTAATTTCTATACAGAATATATTATAAACAAGTTTATATATATTATATATATATAAATAAATAAAATTGAAGGTTCTATCTGTAATATTGATATAATTGGCTTCTATCAAGCTCAGGGGATTATTTCTACTATATTATTAAGGTATAAGTAACAATTTAAAAATTTTTGTCTATCTGTCTGTCTGTCTGTCTGGGCTAATCTTTGCAATGGCTAAGCCGATTGTTATGAAACTTCACGAAGAGCAATGCCAGGGATGTAGGCTATGTTTCATTCAAATGATTTAAAAAAAAAAATTTATTAAACAAATGGTCTTTGACAGCCATAAATCTAAATTATTATTTTTTATTTAGTTTTTATTTTACTAAACTACAAAAATCAGCACCTGAACTAGGGTAAACCTGTATCTCAGGCGTATGTGCTAATAGAGATACACTATCAAATATTTTCTGTCTCTTATATAAAATGAATAACATACCAACTAATTACGGTTAATTTCGTTAAAATATATTATCATAAATTAATTTAAAACAATCAGCAACTTTTCCCTATCATCGTAAGACACATTTTGTAACTACTATATTCGATAAAGCATTAATGTAATGGCCAAATATTTAAACGCTATATTTAAACTCTATCTCTACTTTTTTTACGTGTCACGGCCACTTTAAGCTAAAGTGGCCGTGGCCGACACCACAAAGACTTAACGGCATATTAAAATTGAGTAGCGTTTGAATATTTGGGTATAATAGATCCTATCCAGGTGAAACGGGGGCGGATCGCTAGTTATACATATTATAACAATCATATAATATCTTTTTGTTTTCTAGAAACTGGCATCAGATTCATTCCTGCAGTTTAAGTCTTTGAAAAAACTTACTCTTGCGACATCGTCACCAGAATTAGTAGATGAATTGTGTGCATCTTTGAAGGATGCTTTAGAGACGGTCTGTACTGGATCCTGCGAAACGCAAACATATGATTGCCCTAATACGCCCCAAAACATTGATGAAGACCTAATTGATGCCACACTACCCGGAATGATTGCATTTAACACTGAAATCGAAGATGGCGATCCAGCTGTAGATGTTCCAAGTGATGACGGAAACGTGGCAACTGAAAAACAACAAGCAGTAACAGAACCATCATCTTCATCAGAATCATCGAGTACAGCTAAGACGACTTCTACTCCTGGAGAAAAAACCCAACCAGTTAGCGAATTTTCTCTACGTACAGCCGTAAACAAAGAACCAGCTTCAGACGTGAAATTAAATTCCTTTGTAAACAAGCCTGAAGAAGAAATTGACAAGTCTAGCAGTGAAGGACCAGATGTGAAAATAGGTGCTAAAACTTCAAGTACAAACACTGGTGGAGTAGACAAAAGTGTGATTGGTATCATCGTAGCTGCCATGGTCGTTATTGTAGCTGTTATTACAATAACAAAGAACTGGAGTTCAATCAGAAAACGGTTTGGTACTTCAAGACCGCCTAACAATCGCACTGAAGCAACTGCGAATGGCACATCGCCAGAGGAAGTTCCCTTACAGGACAAGTTGCCAGTGTAAACATCTCGATCTGAATTATGTACATTCTAATGCAAAAAAACTTAAATATTATAAATGTCTATAATCTTGTTACCTAATAGACAATACACAAAAAATTAAGCATAAGTACAGAGAATACAATGACGAACGTGATGTTATATTTGTAAAATGATAATTAAGGTTTAAATATAATAGATTAAGTTTCGATAAGGTCGCGTAAAATATTAAAATTAAATTTTGTAAATAAATGTATAAAAGTAATGGGTCAATGCATAGTTATAACGAAGATGACAATAAACATTACTTTTACGTGTTTTATAACCAATTTATTTTTACATAAAATATAAAGATCTATTTATATTTTTAGACTTTTTACTCTTTTATCTTTCGAAAAAAAAAATCGTTTAACAAACTTTCAAACTTCACGCTAGTAATGTTGCTTCCCATCAGTGCAAATTTGGATAGTGTTTTTGAATGGATTTTCTGTGAACAGTCAGTTCAACAGAAAGGTCCAATTACCATGACTGTTGTAAGGAGCAATTATGAGAAATAATATGCCAAATGTAAAATACATAGACCGATGCCCGGCGGTCCACTACTGTGCGATTTACTAGAAGTTTTTTTCTTCACAAGACTACTACTTTCTTGAATCGTTTACCACGGGCGATTTTCCTGGACCGATACGACTTAGGGACCTTCAAGAAACGAGCTTACTTCTTTTTACTTACGTACTTATAACGTGAGACGACAATATATAAAAATTAAAACATATTGGTTCGACAAACTCCGCAATGAAATTGTTGTTGACAAAAAATAAAATGCAAAATAAACATACAAAAACGGTTGTTGCTCGTTTAGCAGTGAAATATCAACAAGGTTTAGAAGGTTCTTGACATCGTATTGATTGTATGTTAAATTCGTAGCAGACAGTTGTTTACTTCTGGTAGATCATGATTCATGATGTGATAAAAATATTGCGTAGCTTTTGTTTCTTACTTTTTCATAACATAATATTTGATGGCGCAGCAAATATTATGTTTTTATTCTTTTTAGTAATTGAATTATTTGTTATTACTTGGCAGATTCATGCTGTAGATTTATTAAGGTTGCAGTAAGAATGGGTCAGACGAATTGGAGTAAGACCCCGCTCTCACATAACATCGTGCAATAGCAGCTTAATGTGTTTCGTATGATAAGTGTCGAGAACCGGAGACTTATTTTACTGGCAAAAAGGCATTCCATCTTACTCCACAGGGGTACATCTGCATTTTGATTCTTAATTCTGAGGATAGATATAAATGTCTATGGGCCACACCATTCACTTACCATCAGGGGGACTAAGTGCTCGTGTGTCACTCTTATTCTATAGAAAATTTTAAAGTATACACATATATACTACTTATCTAATATTACTCTCAAATAAATGGGTACTCTATTCGTTATGTAAAAAAAAAAAACACTACTGAAGATTACAACTTACAAATCAAAACAATTATTATTGTAAAACGGTAAAATTCCGCTTTATTGAATTAATAATTAAACGACATTAATTAAAGATATTAAAAGAGTTGTAATCAACAGCTAAATTGTTTTAAACCTTTTCGACTAATGACAATAACAATAAAATGCATCACGTTTTTCATGTAATAAAATAACACCAAAAGGTGAGACAGATAGAAGTCGTAGTGGAGCACGCACGGTCTAAACGGGTCATACGCAAACGGATGCGCGCACCGCGCATCACTGCCTGCTTGCCTGACCGCGACAACCTGCTTGATGGTTGATGCCGTTATTATTAGACGCTTTCCGCGTGGCATCGTATCGTCACGGCAACGCTTTCCTCTTCGATCTGTGATCGAAGCCTTTCCTACGAACTTGCAAAGTTTTCTTACTGAATCATATTTTTAATGCAACTTTGTATATACCAATTTGTTAACGTTTTAAATGTCGGACATTATCTGTGGAAGTTATTTCTATAGATTTTTTTTGATAGGATGAAAGTTTGATTCGCGGAAATGATTTGACTCTATTCAAATTGCACCAATAAAGGTATACTGTTGCTAATACGGATTTTGACCTTACTGTGAGAAACTCCGTAAAACAATTTTAGTGGAAGTCATTGACTCGGTAGTCGTGTCTGTGGCTTTTGCTCGTTTGGTATCAGTAAGCTGTCGATATATTCTCGAACTTATTGCGAACATCACATTAACACTCACTCCCGTGCATTGTTCAATGATATATTTAACAGTGCGATTCAAGTGCAGTGCTCTCGTTCCATATTAAACGCGAAACAATTTCTTACACATGGTTATAAAAGTATAAAACAAAAGCTTGAATGTATATCTTGGTTGAATTCTTTAAATGTACGAAGTTTTTTTTTTGCAAGGTATGCTTGCTAACGTATTTTCGGAAAGACCTATTTTCAATAAGGGACTTTAAAAGTTCTTTTAAACGTTTTAATTTTAAAGAATTACACGTAGCTCCCAATTACGAAATGGCAATCATTATTAATCATTTATTTTACGACTTAGATCCATATATGTATATACGTTAGCTTGAAAAGAGTGAACGACAATAGCGCATTGCGTAGTCATTAACCGGTAAATCGAATTATAAGGCATTAAATAATCTTCCTTCTTATAATCTAAAACAGTGCAATAATATTTGCTTAAAAATGTGTTAAATATTAATAATAATAATACACTTAAATGGGTTCATTATGGACATCATCTGCTAACGGCAGACCATTGCAGGACTCTTTATTAAACGTGACAATTTAAGTTACTGTAACAATTTTTAAATACACAATGTGTGCACAAGTTGCGACGGTAAATTACAATTGTCGCGTTTATAATGAAAGTACCTTGGATATAGATTTCTCCTAAGGCCACTTAGCTCAATCATCGGCTTCAAATGTGTAGCTGGTGCAAGCCGCTTTTTGCAGATCGTTACTACATCCATCCAATAGACGTCCTACCATTTATGTAACGTTTATCGAAGCGCATCTGGGAAAATGCGGTACATTTATGCGGGAACCCAGACGTAGTCTTATACTTTTACTGTTGGTTGTATTAAAAAAAAGTCTACTAAAAAACTACAAGAACACATGAATTATGGAGGGATATACTAAGAAATTTTCGGCGTAATAAAATCCGTAACTAACTTGGTTAAATCGATTCAGAAGACGATGAAATACTACAAAGCAAATAACAATAAAAATATTTACAAAGACTATTATTATTACGATAATAAATTCATTCTCGACTGTACGCAAGCGCAAGTGACACATCACGTAGCATGAGCAAGACGGAAAACTATTATGAAAGTCGGGTGCCACGGAAAGGTGAGTATTTACGCGACCAGGTTTTTGTACCAGGTATTTGCCATACTCGTAAGGCTTGAAAGTATTTTACACCGCAACTCGACTGTTCGTGGCGTTGCTTCGACCGCACTCGGTGGAACACATCGTAAGCCACAGAATAAATAAGTAAGCCCTGTCAGCTTGAATTGGACTCCTTAGGAATTAAAACTTTTTCTTTATAAAAAAGGAACACAATTTCGCTAATCAGTCGAAATACTTCCAAGGTTTCGAAGTATTTTTCCGTTTATAGAATTTTTCTCCTTATTTCTAGAAAACCACGAATCAATTTACTATTCAAATATCAAGTAGGTAGGTATGTATTTTTACTTTCAAGGTTTAGAAGTTTTTTTTGCAAGCGCGAGTGTACGACTTTTTTCATTCTCTATCTATCCATGTATCGGTATCTTTTAAAACTTTCAGCCCAAGTTCCTTCTAGATGTCCGAAAAGAGTGTAATAATATTGAAGTTTTAAAGCTCCATCTTATTTGTATCCAGTGTTCGATATGTTCATATTTCATCTGAACACATTCTTGTTTTGGGATTGCTTTTAATTTGATTTAATCAAATTAATACGCATTTAATTCGTTGACTCTTAAACTCTCTTTAGTTATCTATGTAACTATGGCGTATGTTAATGTGGTGACGTAAAATATTCTATCACCCCATTTGATCTATCGATTTGGGTTAGGTTAGGTCGATTTATCCTCAATTAAGAATCAAAATCCAGATGCATTGTCACCCCTGACGACTGAGATGGTATGCCTCGTTTCCAGTAAAAAGGGTCTCCAGTTCTCTACACTTACTATACGAAACAGCAGCATTAAGTTGCATTTTACGTTGGTATTCTGTGAGAACTTGGTCCTACCCCGGACGAGCCCACCCATTCGTGCTGTAACCACAATATAGCTGCAGCATGGCTCTACCACGTAAAAAATGGTATCTCGTTTACGCCAAAGGTGCGAGATGTCTGATAATGCGATCTTCAATCCGTCGGCCAAGTATGACGGTTAAGACAAATCCACCCTAATGAGGCTGTTATAACTTAATTTGCTTAATTCCGCATATATAAAGAAAATTATGTGTCCTGCCCAGTTTGAAGAAGAGCTCCCACGCTTCGTCAATTGCGTGCATTATAACCCTTCAACACCACCACCACCCCTGGGGGTGGTGGTGCTGGGCTAATAATTGAAGGATGGTGGGCGGTCCCCTTCAAACTAGGCAGGACACATCATTTTCTTTTTTACGCGAAATTAAGCAAATTAAATTATAACAACCTCATTATAATGGATTTCCTCAAAGTAACGCCTGATTCTAATAACTAACCTACCCTACAACGGGAGAGCCACCCACACCAGCAATGGACTCCTATGGAGTGACGATGAAGAAGAAAATTTAATTTCCCAAATATATTTCGAGGACATGATGTGATAATGTACACGAATTATGGCAGCGCAGCGGACTCTTTCTTGCCCTAACGCCCTTAAAATTTACATATGTATGAAGGCTAAAATATAATGCTAAAATATCTATGTGGCCAAAATATATATACCTATGTTACTTTATTTTTTAATTTTAAATATAATTTTCAAAGTGTAATTGTATTATTTTAACTGATTTTTAATATTTATAAAGCAATAAAAACAACAAGGTCACTTAGATA